AATTTGTTTTCTCAAGAACGACCCAAAGTAATTGTTATTCCTTCAGTGCCCATAAACAGTAATTAACCAACGAAATTCAACCAGATTGCGCATATTAGCCATAAAGTGACAGAGAAAGTTGAAAATTATCAAAATTTGACATTTAATTTATGAATATTGGTTATATAAGAAGTTGGTCAATGCTATTCAATTTTTAATGAATCCGGTACCAGAAACCGAAGCAAATAATTGTTTCTGATGGAACACTTTGATTATTATAATTTTTTGTTAATCAGAAATAATCTTAATGAAAAGGATGCATGTCCTTGTAAGCACAACATTGAGCCATTCGGGTGATCTGTTCCGAATCAAACATTCATTCAATGCGGGAATTTTTGATCTTTTACACCCAAAATGAGCTCAGATTTCTGTTGAGCCAACGAATAATAAAAGGAATATTTGCAATCTCATTTGACTGAATAATGAACAGTTTGAGCGGCAGTGGCCAAGTAGTTAGGTCACCAACTTGTGATTTGACCGCTCCACCGCCTCCCGTCTTTCCAGGCAGCCTTTGTATGGCCGCGGCCCCCTTCCTGAATGATGACTGTACATTTGTATGTTAAATAAATAAAGAAGGGAGTACAAAGACATTGTTACATTGTTTCCTGTTAGTTCCAGATGGAAGTGAACTCAAGAAAATAAGCTGTTGGAGATGAAGCATTGTCAAGGGCTGTGCACAATAGACTATCGTGTCCCGTCAAGCTAGGTTACAAATTACGTTCGGTTATGATTAACTAAGACACCACTCAATTATTCCACGTTTACTATCAGATGTGTAGCTATGAAGTAGAGTGTATTGAACATCCAGGATTCGGAAACATCCTATGATTGAACCAAATCACATGTGATTGGTCGAAACTGATCATTATGAGGTTTACAGGATTACAAGTCTAAAACATAAACTCTTGGGCCGTAAGCACTTGCAGCTTGGCAGCAATTTTATACCTGAATTAACCTTCGGTATAATTATACATAATGAAAGCTTCCAAGCTTTTCTACCGCATCCTATACTGCACAGTTGATTATAATGTAGGAAACATTATTAGTGCATTCCGTTGTGCTTTTTCCGTTTCATTCTAAGGGAAATCATCTTTAGCCTGCTCTCTTGGGGAATTCACTCGTGAAGAGCTTGTTTAATGGCTATATGCAAGGGGTTCGTTTTTCAAGGTAGGTTCAAGAAAACCTTCACAAATGAAAGTGTCCGTGTTTGACATTTTGAGCAAATAACGTGTTTAGTAAGCTAATACAGTATTCATATTGATAGTAATTACTTATGATTTTTCATCTTCTTTATCACATGCTGGTTAAAGGCCATACAGACAATGAAGAGTTTCAGATGATCAAATTTTAATTTACAAGATTCACGTTTGTTCCATTGGTTCAAATTTTTAAAACGCGATTATCGTTTCGGATTTAATTAGTAGTTGCTTCGTAGTTTTTAAATTCATTGGATAGCCTCAGTAATGAGTATTAATCTGTGATTGAGGATCAAAAGCGAGACCTCGCAGGTGTACCACCCACTTGAAATGCGGCTGATAGCTGTCTATAGACAAATCAACCAAATACCCCACTGAATATTCTATGAAGTAGCTCGATGCGGAATGCACATAACCGAGACATTCTTCATGGAAGCTAGTGTTAGTGGGTTTTATAGTAACTGTTCAAAAATGGTTGACAATGCACCACGTACAGAGGAAGTGATGGGGTTTGATTGGTAACTTAATGGCTAAATGAGTGGAAGGCTCATTTTCTACCTGTAAGCACGTGGATTTGTTCATTGATATAATTGAGGAATTATCAGCACTGTAAAAATTTAATACTTCTTTTTCTTTGCCCCCCATGTCCTCAGAAACAAATGCATTTCCCTACTCTTTTTTAAATGCATGAAAGATTTCTCTCTCAATTTCTCTGTATCTCGGTTCTAATAAGACGTCAACCTTATTTAAAACAATCACCTGATACTGATTTGATTTTATGAACTTTTCTGCTCAGACCGAGTGGGCTACTACATTACAGTAAGATTTGATCCATTTCTTAGTGATAATATTTTACGTCAAACGGTCTAGACGCTTGGACACCAAATACTTTCGTTTGAAGCAATCTTGGGAGTTCGAGTGATACAATACTGAATTTCCGAGTTCAAGCCGTCCTCAACTCAGGGATATATGCATACTTAATATTCCTGCCAATGATGTAAAACTCGTGTACGGGTTATTATTGTTATTATTATTATTGTTATTGCTGTAATGATTGTAGTAATAGTAGTAGTAGTAGTAGTAGTAATAGTAGAAAAATACGCACGGAAATAGGAACACGAGCCACGTGATACGAATCACGGAACACGAATCAAGGGTCAGTTATCACGGACTGGATCACGGAAGCACTGGACCGCAATGGCACTAGCAAGCAATGTCCCACGTAGCTGAAACGCGAGGAAAAAGTCACAGGAATGGTAGTTCGCTTATTGGAAGAAACTAGGGCGATTAAATACTATGTACAAAAGAAGATCATTGGTTATCCAGGTTTCCACCAATAGCATTCCAGTATTGCTTGCATCATTCTGCTTCTATCTGGACTGCACTGTCTCGGATTGGCTATGGTGTGTAGTCAGAAGCAGTGACATGTACGCGCGTCATTAACGTCACCTTTGAAATCTGATTGATCGCAGGTGTCCAAGACCTGTAATGCGCTGCTCCAGGGTAGGCGTCATCTCGTAGGCCTGGATCACCACAGTTACCGTTGCGGAATACAACAATTTCTAATCCTATTTCCATCAACGCTCGAGTAGATCCTTGTGCGCGTTCCGAATGTCACTTTGCGTGCTGTCTTTTATTAAGGAAACAGTTTTTATACTAGAAGTGATCAAAACTTGGGTGCTTGTAATATACAAAGATGAAGTCAGTCGATCATGGTGCTCACAATATTTATTGATCTATCACATACCAGTGACTGTAAACGAGTGACACTGAGGGACATATGCTCCGATGTTTGTAGCTTTAGAACGCGTGCATATCGTTAGGTGTGGTAAGTAAACGTATGGTCACATTTGTCGGAATGACGCTTGCACACAGAGAGGACACAAGTAGAATGTTCGTTCCACTGAAGTGCACACAACCAGTTCTTCATTTGAATTTGGAACGTTTTCGCTAAAGAAAACCAAAGGTAAATGTGTGCTATTTATACTTACTTAAAGGGACAAATCTAACGTGATTTATGGTGTGATGTATATTTAGAAGCAACTGGTGATGTGTTTATTTGGGATGAGCAAGTAAAACAAGACAAAGGCCACCAACTTCTGAAAACAAAGGTTGTCACGGAGCCACATACTGCAAGCGTGTGTGAAAAATATTTCGCACTAGCCTCAAGAAATGCCCTCATAGCGTGCTTCTCCTAAAGTGTCTACTGAGAATGCCTTCCCATTGCAGGGTTAGTTTCATCAATGTACAAGGTCAAAAATCAACAATATCTCGGAGGGGGGGGGAGAGTGGATGGACTGGTTGATAAACCACGGACAGCTACGGGAGTTAGAAAACCCTCCTCTTAAAATGGGGAGCACACACTGGCTCCAGGAAATTCTGATCGCGAAGTCCCCGGGATCCATCGTACAAAAGAGTCATACTGAAAACCGACGGTGTATGAACCAAGACTAGAGGGCGCACCATCCGATTGATTGTACACTGTCCCTCAGTGGTCTGTGGTTTTGAAACACCACTCGATATCAGTACGGATCACGCTTTGAATATATTAAGCCTCTTGTTGTAAATTTTACGAGAAAATTGCCAGCTTTGGTTCCTACAACCTGGCAGTGTTGCGCCCATGAAAGAATAGCTGATTGGTTACTTTATGATTAAAAGCTGTTATACCATGATTTGTTCGGTACACAATCTGTACTCTGAAAAGTTTGACGCATTATTTAGTTCGCTCCTTTACATACTAGTCTACCGGATGAGTGAACAACATTATGGAGAAGAGATAGATTATTGTTGAAGGAAACAACATTTTAGACGGTGAATGTTTGGAAATGCCGTCTGTCCAATGAAACCATGAAGTATTTCTTACACAAAGCTAAACTAAAGAATGATGACAATTAAAACAGGCCGCATGTCCGGGGTATTTCAACTTGATTTAAAATATGTGAAAAATCGGTTCCTACATTAGTGATCTGTGTTGCAAAGGGGTAGTTTTCAACAAATCACTTAAGATCCACACGTTCTTTGTTACTGTGGTCATTTATACGAATAGAACTGTTGGTGGCGTGTCAGCTGAAGACTGTACATCGAAAATTTTTCAGTCCATTTACGTCTCCACAGTGGTTCTTAAAACATTTAACAAAGCAAACAAGAGGCATTACTAGTTTATTGTTTTTTCCCACGCCGGCACACCAGTGGAATCAGTTTAACCTACAGCAATTGGTTGTCATAAGTTTCGAACCAGAGCCAAATAACTAATGAATAACTAAATAACTATATAGTTCATTAAACCTAATTCTGCACCATAAATTTTTATTTTTGGAATACTACCTGTCTCCTACTTTAGAGATCTCGTGCTCTGAAAGGTAGTTCCCGGGAAACGGAAGTGTGTTTGTGTGTTTGTGGAGGAGGAGAGTAGTTTTAAGTCCCACATGTGTTTTATTACATATCATATTTTGGAAGAACAGACAACGAAAAAGTTATGAGTACCCTTTTCAGGCACAGAACAAGGGAAAAAGTTTAAAATGGTGCAGCTGGTTAGGTAATCATCAATCAGTTAAATCATAAAAAGCACTAGTAGAATGCAACTTAAAAAATAATTCTAGCAATAGAAATAATTTAGCACACATAAGACAGTAAAATAAATGATAACCGGGTTTAAAAGTTGGAACCAAGGACTGGATATATGGAAATTCCTCATCTTCGTGGATGATTTCACTAGACAACTACAGCCGATTGTTTAGGGGGACAAATCGAATAGATCGTTGTGATTCAATTGATGGGCATAAGCTCCGGATGTTTAATGATTGTCAGTGACTTGTTCGCCGGGATAGAACAGTCCAGCATGCCTGCACCGTACAGGTCATCGCGGCAGACACACTGCCTTTGCTGTGTGCCTGGTCTATTCAGGTGGTTTGCGATGGATTGGACAACTACTCGCAGTCGCTGTTTTGTCGTCTGTTGAGGGAACAAAAACAGAGGAATAAGGGGATGGGTAACATTTAGGGTAAATCATTGTCAAAAATCAAAGCAGTCGCTGTGAGAGCGGTTCTAAACCCGATTATACTATGAGAACAACTTATCAGAGACGGATACACTGGCTAGTAGTACTGATCACATTATTTATTTAAAAACAGTACTGTTGTGTGAATGAAGGAATTCATACCACTTGTAATGCTCCAAGCAAACAACTGAAAAACGAGGAANTATAGGTCGAAAGTCTTTTTCCAGTAGCCAGTCTGATCAACCGCGGTCGAATCGACCCTAACCTTTTCATTTCAGCTAGCTTAACATAACTTACTTCATAAGATTGACACCATGGTTCCCTAATCGGAAGCGGGATACTGTAGAACTGTTTTGGCCTCAAAAATGACGTCGGGGGGGGAGTGAATGAAAACAGGGTAGAATGCGAACGAACGGGATAGTTTTGCTTATCAAAATAAGTTGAATATGTTTTTTGTTCCATTGTCTATGCTGACATCGTGATACAGTTACCCAAGATAATACGTCTTGGAAGGCTTTCTGGTGTTTTGAAAGCTAATCATTGTGATGGCATATTATAGATTACTCATGAGATCGGGATAAGTTCTGAGTAGATTGAAAATGTCTTCTGATAGTCGTGGATAAAAGATGAGAATATATTTAAAAAGGAAACCACTCAAATATTACCCGTGTATTAATGAACAATGGAATGGTTCTACTCTTGCCATTTGTTTGCGTGATAAATACAACATAGTGATGATGTTTAAGGTTCATTGAAAAATCGAATGAACGAGGGTAGTCGTGTCAAGGTGGTTGATGAGATTGCAGCTGAGTATGAACTTCCGCATGGAATGTAAATTTCTTTTCACATCATTCTGTTTGTTCAATTAAATGAGGGTAATGTGAAACCGGCATATCTTGTCCTGCTGAGTCATGCTCATCTTTGACTTGGAGGACTAAAATAAATGGTGAAAGGACTTTGGTTTGCACTTAACTTCAAACATCTTTTTCATTGAGTCGGAGCGATTAGTTCTTTGCGAATTCTGCCAAATACTTCAAATATTTTCGGAGAAACAGGGAACAGGTGATTATTGTCATCAACATCGATTCACTGCGGAATGTTGAATGCATCTAAGAGTAACACTGTCATGTTTCCGGTGTGCCGGATATCAATTCTCGCTTCACTGTTGCCTGCGTGATTCTGAGCCGTTCAATTAAATTAATTTAAATTACTGCTCTTTGTTTCAACCGTCATGGCAATGTGATTTTGATTGGACTGACCATCTTTCGAACTTCGTATTCACACATAATACTCAGTGCATCCAGTCAATCTTACACTCCAGTTTCGTTTTTATAAGTGTGCATTTTTAGTGTACATCCATCGTTATATTCGGGTTTTGAACTCCAGACCCATTGCATGGAACGCGTGTGTTATTACTGAGCCAAACAAAATAATCGATGTTGAGCGGAATCTCCAACTCTTATTTGTTCGGGTTGTCTTCCGTGATAGTCAGTCAGTTCATTTGCGGCCAAACTGCAGCGAGGGGAGATACTTGACTTTCTCTTAACTCCAGTCAAAAGCCTCCCACCAAAAAGAACGGCATAGGTTGACTTTTTTCACTATCTGGGACGGGAAGGAAGACGTACAAGACTGATGCACTGACTGCTTAATGCGTGAAGATGAGGTCGGAATTAGTGTCACCTACTATACGACGGTAAATGTGAGGTGAACGTGATTATTAAAGACCAAAGTTTCAGGTTGTGAGAAAATGGGAGATTGAAAGTGTAGGGTGCTAAAGCAAAAAAACGTTGTAAAAATCGCAAACGAACAAAGTGGCCCTTCAGATTAATACAAGCGCCGAGCAGAAGATGAGCATCGATGAACAAGGTACCCAACTATGTACAAAATGGTGTCAGTTTTAAGGAATAGGGTTAGAAAGACCGTAACTGTGACATAACAAGGCTTATCAGCGAAATGACATGGAGTTGGTTATGATTTTGATTGGTGTTTCGTGTGTACCAAAGGTTACTGGTTCCTGCCCTCGGAGCTCCCTTCTCCTTGTAGAATTGTCGTTTCAATGACGTACAGCTTCTTAGTTAGAATAAAGCAAATCTTTAGGTGGGCTGTACTTTTTCAGAAAACATTACTGAATTGGCTTTTGTTATAGACAAACTTTAAATTTATATGCAGCAATTATTTGCCACAAGAGAAGTTCAAACGGTAGTTTTAATCCTTTGGATAGTACTTGTGAATCAAGCTGGTCCATTTTGAATGCGTGGCCAAGCTGTTAATTATCAGATAGCAAACCCAGCTGGAAGGGCTCTTGTAGCAGCGTAAAGTTAAAAGCGTTCTCTTTTATTTTATCAATGTAAAACTGACTTCGCCGGGAACGTACGAGGTAAGTGTCAGCACTTGAAATACTCAGTCTTAAGCAACGAATTAGTGTTCATGACAAACGCGAATGACGACGGAAGAGAAAGGTAACAAAATGAAGTGAGTATTTTTTCAAGAGCTTTTCCATTGGATTTGTGACAAAACTACGGGCCATTGGAGCTGCCTACAAAGATCTGATTCACATTAAGTCAGGACAAGAGTCTCATAATTCAACATCTTCGAAAATGTAGAAAATGAAGCCGGTTCCTTTGGCACCAGCGATAATGCGATGCGTAAAGGAACAGAAATAACTAAACACAACAGACAGGAATGTCTCCCGCTATCTACAGATTTCAAGGATTTATTTTTCTGTCTATGTGTATGTGTATGTGCAACGCGTGCTTGCGTTTGTACATTTCAGTCCGCTAGTCATATTCCGTCCCCGGAAGATTAGTGAACTGTTCGGCTTGTACATGATCGGCTAGACTACAAGAGCATTAGCCCACTTAATCATTTTTGTGTGGTAAAACGGTAACTCATTTTTGCTGTTCGAATTTGTTCAAATGTTGATCATAGTCATTTGTTTGTTTCACCTCAATGGCCTGTCATTTATGATTGAACAGGGATTGGAATTTCAGAGGTTTAGGACTATTCACTGCCCCCCATTGCTTTTAGCTTTGTCTCCTCATTAGAGAAACTGAAAAGAAAAAAACGGAGTTTTATCAAAATTTAAAATGGTATGTTTAAATGAGTCTATTCGATATTCATTGGCCTCAAACACTGCTATGCCCATTCAAACATATCATTCTAAATTAAAGCATCAATTTGCCGAAAGGATTACTCGGGACTAAAGAATTTCACTCCCAACAGGAAGTTTAGTGTTTTGGATTTTAGCAGAGAAACGTACAGCACTGAAGAGTTCCAACAAGATCAAAATCTCTGTTAAGTGACCTTTGTCACGCAACAATATACATCATAAATGACAAGTCTATTTGCTGCTAACTGCATCTGAACTCAAATGTTCCATTGCAACAAAAAACAACGCATATATATTCTAAACGTTTGTGGACGAAACTTACAATCACATTCTGGTAAGCCCATATAAAGCCACCAGAACCTTGGGCAATCAGGGTACAGTGGTCTCGTGGTGCATTCACTGTTCCACTGTTCACCACACGACGAATGGATCCATCTGATTGTACTTCATCGTAGTGCTCATCACTGGTCAAAAGAAACACATTTCTGTTCAGATCACCAACTGTGATGAATGACGACTCCGGTATGTAATGAAAATCGATTCCTTTGCGTTTCATAACACGAATCAGGGTTTTGTATTGGGATCCTTCGGGGGTACAACTGAACGAGGAGACAGAGCAGGGGTGAAAGATGGATCCATAAATTGAAGCATTTCTGTCACGGTTGAATGACGTCAACTCAAAATTATTTCTTAATGTTTGGTCCCTGGTTTTAGTGAACGAAAATGAGAAAATGACCTTCGTGAGCCAGAATCTTATCCATTTTTATTTTTAATAACAAATATTATTCGAACAATATATTCTGATAAAGATACGACTATTCAAACCGTCATCCCAAACGGTTGGAACCTGACCACATTGGGGATCGACGTAGTCCCATCCCTGGGTGAAGTGGTAGACACCATAGTTTCCCCTGGCTGTAGAAAGTTCCCTAATCGCATACATTAAAATATATGAGGAATTAAAAGCCACTGTTATGAGATATGGAATTTATTGTTTTCTAACAAAAAAAATCAGTGCATAATGATAGCTTCATGTTCCTCAATCTATATTTTCTGTTTTTTTTAGTTGGTTTTACAAATTTGGATGCCCACCGTTTTGAGGATTTTGTAAAGTAATAACCGGGCTCCAATTGCATCAGTGCGTGGCTATGATAAGATGGTTTAACGCTTAAAGATACCAAATTATTTTGTCAACCGTCTAAACTAGATGGCTAATTTTACAGGTTGCAATCTGCTTAGTTATTGAAGCTCATGGAAACTATTAAGCTATGGTTGAAAACGATTGACAGGTTTGCATCAAGGGGACACTTGAAGGTGACAGGTAATGTACCTCATTGTGAGTCATTTTTACAATGGATGCCCGTAAGTTTTATTCAACACTCAAGATGGTTTGATTTTATTGCAAGCAAACATTTAGTTACAAGTGCATGACCTGTTTTTATTTCTTTTAGTGTAATCTTCAAAGGATGTGACAATGCATTACTGAACAATAATTGTTTCATCGAATGGTTGTGATGAGTGTTTGAGATTCATTGAGAAGAATACAAGTTCTACAAAATCGAAACATCTTCCAGTGTTTTTGTATTAAAATTTGATAGCGAAATTCCATTAACATCTAAGGGTATGTAATAATGTTAGTTGAGTTGAAGTTTTGGCAGTCGAAATGCAAACCTAAGGGTGGCTAATTTTTATCAGTAATGTTGCCTAACTAGAAATGCTACTCACGAGTAACTAAGAGACTGATATTATTTATTTTGTATAATTTCCCCCTGAAAGGATGAGAGGTAACATCAGCGATAAACAGTTAACTTCTCATGGTCGATCAATTAATCAATCAGCGAACAGTTTCAAACGTAATCGCTGTCTACGTTTAGAGCTTAGCATGAGACAAACACTGCAGTTATCATAATTCAGCTTCAGTTTAATTCGAGGTAAATCGAGGTTGGTGTTCTTTTCTAAGTTTTGATTTCCATTTTCAAGGGTTGACACACAGTAGCGAAGGAAAACCTGCAGTGAAAGTTATTGGAATAACAGGAGAAAGATTGAAATTGAAAAAAATTTCTTCGCCTTCCACATGGATCACGGGGTAGATCTCCTAATAGAAGACAACCCAAGGCACATAGCAAATGGAACCGTTCAATTTTGTCTCTCAAGGTTTACCTCAGTACCCCTGGTATATGAACTTGAATAGAAAGGAGAATAGAGACGGAACTATTTATTTATCCTGAAGCAAAACGAAGATAGACTATCTATAGGTAAGATTTATTGATTTTCCAGTCAGGTTAACTTTTCGTGACCGTTGTGCTTGACGGAGAAATCGACTCTGTTTGAACTTTGTTGCTATTATTCTGCAATATACATTTACAGATCAATGAACACTTCTAGAGCAGCAGGGTATTAAGTTTATCTGAAAAAAATTTCCATGAATGGGTCCGAAAATTTGGTCCAACATTGAACAGTTGAACAGGAAAGTGTTTACCGTAAACTGATCAAGCAAAATTGAGACACTCTGAGCAGCCGTTGCCCGCTGTTGAAAAGCAATACCGAATCATATCGAATTTGAATTTAGTGCTAGGGGGAGCAAAGCGGGACGCGTTTTTCTCAGCAACTTCAGCTTCGAAAACGTTGCACCTTCCCCAGTGGAGTCTATGAGCAGCTTAGGTTCTATCTACGTTCTATTTTCCGTGAAACGAGCACAATAGAAGATCATTTTGCGAATTTGTGCCTATTACTGAAACTAACCCGCTACAAAGATACAACAAAATTGTATCATGCGATCCATCGAAGGCAGCTGGCTGACGAACGGCCTTGCTCAAAGCTTCCGTAGCCCGAGGCCATTCCACAAACTCGTTTGTTTTTAATTCCGATCCCGTTCCTTGTTGCGCAACAAATGCATGCAACGTCCGAACGAATTGTTCTCCCGAAATCCAAATCTGGCCAGTGTTTGAGGTTAGGCGTGTCGTTTCCGTTGCACCAGACACGGTTGTAAACAGCAGGGCGGAGTATTGCATTTGCTGATTCTGCTTAGCTAAAATCGAATGAGGTTTAGATAAAAGATCAAGAATAAAGAATAACATTTAGGTAACATTCCGGAAAAATTGGTTGTTTAGTCATAACTGTTCGATGTTTATGAGTAAACATAGTTTCAATACATTGAAATTTCTTGGGAAATACGCATATGCTTTAGAACAATTGCATGTGATAATTCCATTCAGTTCTTATATTTTACATCAATAGTAATAACGTATTCCGCGCCAATCAAGCGTAGTTCATGTTTTCTCTCTTCTCCGTTCTTCCCCCACCCCCACTCGACCAGGTCCAACGTTTTAGTTATTGTATCCTCTGTGTACTCTTGTATCCATGACAAAGATGTAACATGTATTTGATCGTACGTATAACATTACATGTCTGGAATCCGCTTGCATGACGTAACACCACTTCCAACTATACCTACTATATCATCGGAGAAGAATAGCACCGAAATTTCGAGTGCAACGTTTGCACATTCATTTTGAAGAAAAGAAGCAATCAAATTGAATTAGATATTGAATTTTATATTTCATGCCATTTCTCAGACACTGTAGTCTGCGTAATGAAGTTTTGAGGATGGACCGGAATATATTTGAGCGTATATTAATCACCGAAATCTTGATGCATCCGATTGGCGAAATACATTTTGAAAATAGTGGATAATTTCTATACGAGCAAGAATAGCTGTCAATAAATGATGGTTATATTGGAGCAAATCTTTTTATTGCATATATATGAGAGAAATAGATTAATGAATCGCGATTAGCCGGAGCTTTAAGCGTTCGAGACCGCTGAGGCAGAAATTTCGATGCACACAGATCCTGCTACTCCCAAATTCTCAAGGGATTAAATTCAGAATTTGTTTACTTAATTTATGCGATGAAGCGCACATGTTCGCCAGCGATTGTATAAATCCTGACCAGGCTATCAACGGGAAGATGCACAATGCATCTCCGCGAAAGAACACAAAAATAGCACGCGTTGCTGATGGGTCCCAGTGAAGAACAAAACAGCAGTTCACTGGTCTTCTTCAGTGACTAAACTCGATTCCTTGCAACTAAAATAAAATGCTCGACCTTGACGGAGATTGATGGAATGAATCTCAACACCATGAGACCCAGTTAAGTGTGCATGTACTGATCGAATTTGTGCGACCACCTGACTTTCGTCCAATCTCATATCCTCAAAGCCGAGCATTTTGAGCCTCATTCGGTGGAATGGATATGCTATTATTCCACATCACAACAATAATATCCACTTATGTCGTTGCTTTCAAAAATCGAATGCCTAATAGTAAAATCAGAGAATTAGGAATATTGGAGTGAGAGATAAGGCCAGGAATAAATACTCTTTAACGTTGTGTACGTATGATATTTTTGATCATTTCACACAAGTTCGGTCAATGCTTAGAGTATCAAACCACAAGAAGAATAATGTGTACTGGAGATGTGGACGAACACAGGCCGAAACAAACTGGCATTCAAAACTCCCACGGATCCATTGTTTCAATATTTGGTAGTTGGTAAAGAGTTACTTTACGCTTAAAGAAGGGAATAATTTTTTGATCAAAAGTAAAATAATCTTATATTTAGGACGAAGAACTTTGAAATCTAAAATGAACCTTAATGAACAAATAAAAATCTTCCCAATTAGGTTGGTCCAAAAAAGGTGTGACTTTCACAAACCATGATGGAGATTTTTTCGAATATGGATTATTGATTTGAACAAACAACTAGTTTTTCTGGGGCATTTTTTCATGTTACATTTTATCTAAGAAAATGGTTTCAATTTGTCTGCCAAAGAATAATTTCAATCGGATAACTTTTGTTCACATTCATCGTTGCGCAGGTCAGTGAGGAATGATTGCACAAAAGTTTTCCCATGCTGTTTTCCTGTATTTTTCGAAACGGCTTTTAATGCACGGTGTTTAAGTAAGTCTTGCTCATTCATTTTTTCTCTTTGGTTAATCTGCATGAGTGGAAATGTAAGAAATGATTCCACACATCCCGAGCTTGATTAAACGTACATTTATTCAGTAGTGCACAAAGTTCAAATATTTCACTCAGTCTTCTGGTCAGACAGGTTCCCATTTCAATCACAAATGTGAGACGTCTTCCCAGTGTGTCAGACGACTGGATCGATTCTTTCTTCTCCTCGTTCCCGGAACAGGAAACTGAAAGCAAGGAGAGATGAAAAATTACTAAAATAAGACGTATATTCATATAAACGTTTTATAAAAAACACCGGTAGTATATAAATTGCTCCACAGACATTTATTACTCACAGAGAAAAATTATGCAATGAGCCTGAGTAACCGATACACTGCGACCATTCGTTATATGTGTGAATAAATTGTGAAAGTAGTCGATATCATCTACTGTTTTCCGGGTGTTAAACCTCGACAAAGGATTTTCTATTTGGATAATCGAGTGATCTGGTACCGCATGTTTTTTTGTTGTGCAGTTTGTACGACTCCCTTTCATCTGTTAAACAAGCGGATTTCAGCTGTCGGGTGCTAAGCCCAATTAAAGGCTATTGAAGTAAGCACATGAAGTAAATATCTTACTAGGGGCCAAAACAAGGATAATCCCGAAATACAAAAATGTGTTCCGACGCATAAATAATCCCCTATCTTTTAGGATCAAAGCAGGTCAAAATACTTGATCGATGCAAAAATAGAAGGAAAAAAAGAAACTTTCTGGTAAATGGACAAGATTAATAGCGTATTTCCAAAAATATATTTGACATAGGTCTAGTTAGGGGTTAGGGTCAAGTTGGATGACAAAATTTGATATGAACGTGAACTAGTTCAAACAATGTGGTGATGGAGGGAGGGGAAAGGTCGTGTCACATATTACGTTAGGGGTCTCTTTATCGTGACTTAATCATTTGCGTCACGAGTGTATTTTAGAACGTATTTGCGAGATTCGTGAGCTTGCAGGTCACGTAATGACTCCAAACGCTTTTAGAACGTATTCTTGGTGACCGGAGTCTAACTAGTACCATGCAATTGCACTGAATGGCAAGTTTCCTCTAGCACACCAAACTGAGGTGTGTGATATGACCTCCTTTCCCTCTCCTTTCATCCCATTAACCACATTGTATGAAACAGTTCGCTATAATACTTGATATATTTCGATACTTTGTTGCGTTCACTTCATCTTCGCTCGGTATTATGCTTCCACTGAGTCTATATACCGATATGATAGGCATCTGATTCCACGCTTTGATCAAAACATTCCCCACGTGNTTTTACGGCACACAAAGTGTGGAAAACACAGATCTGTCTTTTGACAATGTATTGAAAGTCATTTCTCGTAGCTCAGGTGGACTGAATTCACTGTTCGCTAAGCTTGACAAACGTTTCATCACCAGTCGAGGTGACATTTTCAGTGCCTGTGAATTGGCACTATGTTACCTCGGTTGGTGACAAATAGCTAAGCGCAGTGAACAGACGAAATTTAATACATATCTCTCTTTTTGGTGGAGCCGAGTGGCTATGAGCTAAACGCTTTTGCAAAAAGCAGTCGAACATCAACTGGATTTCTTTATCGCACCCCCGGTCTGCAAACGCATCTACCCCCCGTTGAATGTCTGTGATACATGTTTTGTGATCTGCGCAAATGCTAATCTGTCTGGACATGTACCCAGGCCATGGAGAACAGTAGAACACTCCGTTATTTTCCCACCCCCAAACTTTAGTCCTTAGGGAATACCGATCTTATGATCTTATCGGGTTTTATTGGAATGTGTCGGGGTTCGCGGAATTCTTTGAAGATAAATGGGTTATGCATATCGATGAAGGAATTGCCGTTTGCTTCTTAAAGATCCCGACATTCGTGTACAGCTTGGATTTAAGCATTTCTGAATATAGAGAAGTCGCATTGACCAACAGAAAGCATTAGGTAAGTCCGAAATAGATAAACTACAATTAAGGGATTGGGATTTCCGAAGGACCTAAAGTTATCCGAAAATTGTTGTCAATCAATTGCTGCAGTTAAGTCTCAGAAAAAGAATCGCAAGTGGTTGACCTACCGCATTGATGAGGAACTCGTACTGGCACGTCTTGCCGATTACATGTTTGAACGTAGGCACGGACAACCATACAAGATTGCTCATCCCATTCGCGTTTCTTTTCATGTTCGTCCTCCTTGGCGGATTTTTTCCGGTCCATAGCGGACGCGCATGCTCCAATCCATGGATCCGGTGGCACCTCCATGAAACAAGACTGAAACTTCTGCCATATTGAGTTGCACAAAACGCTTGACTGCTCCGAAGGGACCTGGTCAAGTGGCAAGGAGAATCGAAATGAGTGAGATTAGTGTGAATGTACAAACTTTGAATGTTCTCAAAAAATGCTCATAGCTACTGTCCGCGCGAAGTTAGGACTCATGATGAGTTTGGTAATGTTGCTCCCTCTGAGAGAAGTGATGTTTGCTATCCACTTTCTTGCTTGGTAGGCGCAACATTGCCTTGTTAATCGAGTTAAAAGTTTAACCTGAAAGATAACTGAGATTCACAGTATGGAAAAAAAATTGAAATTTCGCTAAACTTAAGCGAATGACCGATATCAATTTTCCTACGGATTTGATGGTAAACTTTTGGGATGTAAGAAGAGTGTACCAGTTTCACTCTTCATGTCAAAAGGTGTAGAAATTTCAATCCACATATTGCATAAATTCTCTTAATTCGCCACGAGCTAATTGGATACATTTCATCAGGGTGTAATGCATTTACAAAGAGCAAGCATAGGACAAAAGGACTAATTGAATGATTAGTTGAAATTTAAAAGAATCACAAATAAAATTTATCATTGAATCAATCCTGTCCTGCCCGCGAAAGTACGCATGTGATATTCGCGGATAGATTTACATTTTTAAGGGAACGCTTTTGTTCATAAATTGCAAGACCCCAATCCTTTTCATCATCTATTTCAGGCAGTAATAATTCTCCACGGAAGTTTCAATTATTGGAAAACTCTTTAATGGACAATCTAAGCTTCGCAGTACCTCCTGTAGTTAAGTCACTTGATGAGTTGCACTACGCACATTATCTTCCTCGTTAAACGGCTCGTGATTTAGGTGCTCACAGTTACAAGCGCATTAGCTTCTGCATGCACTATTAAGAAATAGACAGATGAATTTGGCAGGCTTCGTAAACCTGTGCTTTAATTCAATTGATGTGATTTAGTAAGAGAACACACGTGCGGAGAAACATCTCAGATTGCATGCGCCTCTCTGATTGTCAATCTTATTTAGAGGGACACAAATGCGAAACCAAATACCCGGAGAAGCATTGTTTTGAAACGGATAGAAAGCGTTCAAAAGCGGACTGACTGGAATCGATGGGGGACAGAATTATTGTACCAGTGGCCTAAAATGCGAACGGTACATTTCATGCGATTATAATTCATTTCTCAGACTCAACAACGATGATTTTCAAAAAAATAAAAATAAAAATAACCAAACATGTAGTTTGTTTGCAAAAAACTGCGCAAGTTTTATTCAATTGTCAGTTAAATGGATTTGTCTATTACTAGAATCATTTGTTAAGTGATAGTTAAAACAAAGCGGATTTGACGGATAGAAACTCTTCAGAAGCGAATTATAAGATAGAGTCCATTGCGTGCTTGTTTTGTCGCTAATGTTTGCTGAACGGTGAATGCATCTTCTTTTGCTGATGGTAATGAGAATTAGGGAATTGATGGAAAATAATTTTAGACCAGCTACATCCCGGAGCCGAAAACAATCCAAAGCCAATGAAATAACCGAAGCACCATAGTCAAAACGGAATACACCATATTTCGATGATCTACCCGCAACACTTATCTACCCCCTAAAAATCCCCGTGAGTTAACATAGACTACATTCGTGATAATACAGAACATTTGCCAAGAACTATATTTTCATCAAACATGACAACAGTATATTTAAAAAATATAACTGCCAAACCAAAAATGTGGTGTCATTGAATAAAATTCGCTATGGAAAACGAATAGACCAGTTAACAGCTTTCTTTCTTCTGCAGAAGGGTTGAACACAATACCGTGAAATCAGTTTAAATTAACAACTGGTAATGTATGGAAGCCACAGTCTGAACGGACTGCGTTTGTACTCCCAAAACTTCTCAGCAAATATGTACTAATGATGGAGTTCGAAGGGACCAAACCATTTTCTTCCTGGTTCTATGATCTGCCGATTGACACCGTGGGATGGTTGACGTGAAAATGCTTTAAATTCCAATCATTCCAATTTCCTTGTATATGTATATTCACTTACATAATTTTATTCGAGGAAGCAAAACACCAACATCGATTGGTGGTGGCCGAAAGGTAAAGATCACCCAATTATCACTCCAGAAGATACGTGGCCGAATCACACCACAACCCCCTGACTTTCCCCCTTGATGCAATATTTAGCAGCCCCATTCCCCTTCCTAAAATGACATCACTACAAATTAAATGAAATGAAGGAAAACTGAGGAGAACGGAAGAGCTTTACTCATTGAGGCGCCAAAAGGATTGTAAACAGCGTGACGGAATCGACAGCAGGAATACATTTCTGTTCATTCAAAACTAGGTCAATTGACAAAATCGGGTTTTCTGTCTTGAACTCCTCAGAGACTTGATGCAATTAAATCTGTTTGGCTTCCATCAACCTGGTATGTTGTTTCACCATCCGACTGGTTTTTAAATTTTACTTTAATTTTCACAGTCTGAAAGCCACCTAACGGATATGTTCTGTACATTACGTAAGCATGACGTGTCCATATTTGAATGATCCGCGTTTAACGTGAGTTCGTTGTTCGCGATAGGCACAGGAAGCACTTATTTGCGCTGAGTTGTGAATTCATTCGTACAAGTAACCTAACAAGTTACCGGAATACCAAACAGTGAAATTTAGCCAAATGCTTTTGAATGATCCATGAGAAATAAACACAAGAGGATCTACAGAAAATTCTCTGAACATTGGAGGACTAATCGGGATAAATGGAGAGTAGCACTGCATCAAAAAGATTTGTCGCAACTCTGTTTACCCGCCATTATCAGCAACAGTGTCCGTTCAGTACCTGAGAAATTACCAGCTGGCTCTTATCTTGTACGCCGTGTAGAATTTTTTAAGTTAGAGGCGACTATATTAGAACAGATCTGGTTGCAAAGTGATATTGATGAAGGGATTATTAAAAATGATTTCTTCGCTGGATACTGAGTTGACCGTCTCACAAAGTATCAGAAGCTTCGGTGAGGTCTGGTGAATTATATCAATAACAATTAGAGGAAGAATGTGAAGCAGGTATTCACTCACTCCCCTAGTTACATTTGTGCCCCGTACATGAATTCAAGCCTAGGCACCTGAGTAATTATTGGTCGATTGTATTGGCCACTGTTTACTTTTGACCGCATTTCGTTTCCTCATATGAATCAGTTACATCGAAGGGAGAGGTATACAAACGCAAAGATTTTCAGAGGACGAAAATTTCGTCGCTTGTTATCAAAGGCGAGCTTTATCGAGTGAACGTTATCTACAATGGCACACTCCTTCACAACAAAACCTGCAGGGAAATCTGAAACACCATCAAGCAATTAAGTGGTCAATTCTCAGTCGTGTCCCAAACATGAGTGAACTCCCAGAAGCTAAATAGAACATTCGATAGAAGAACCATCAGCAAGAAGACAGGGACGTCAATCGAGAGCGCAAACAGCGACCTTACTGGTACAGAACCGTTCACTATTCAACTAGAGGATGTTCTGAAGGAGATGCTGATTCTCAAACCTAATAAATTAACTGGTTCCAACAGGTTAAAAGCTACCACCATCCTTGATTAGTGCGCTCACACACTTTTGCCAGTGCACACAGCTGTGTATAGCCAGTGCTTGGAAAGCGTAATGATACCTGATTGTTAGAAATCTGTCTCCGGTACCTAAAAGGGAACCGCAAATTTTTGTCCCATTGCATGTACGTTTGTTTTGTTGAAGCTTTTCGGGAAGGTACTCCTTTAATTAATTTCATCGTAGCTTAATGTGCAGGACCATAACCGATTTCCGTACCACCACTCTCACTCCACACTTCATGCCCTAGCTTCTCTGGTTCACTATAGTCTATCAGCTCTAAATGGAAATAAGAAAACTGCCAGGCTAGGTTTTTGGATTACAGAGATGCCTTCAATTCTGTTGACAGATGTAAGTTGGTGAATATTTTGTCTTCCTGCTGAATATCTCACCATAACCACGGTACTCACATACTATTTCATAAACCGATCTCAGTTCACAAGTTGTCTTGGTCGTTCCCCCCTCTCTCCTAATCTATATTATATGATGTATGCTATAAGGTGCCATCCTGTCCCCTTTTATCCACTTATATTTCATGCATGCCTACTTTTCCGTATTCCCTACTTATTAGGTATGCAAACAAATCGCGAAACCCGATGTATCTGTCACCTCCACCCTTCCATTTGGCCTTTCTAATTTTGCTGAATGGTCCAGTGCACATAACTTTACTCTCAATAAAAAGAACATGCTGTTCACACTTGTCAGTAGGAGCCTTTGTGCAAATCTCTTAGAATCCTCGCCCACGATAAAATTACATGATGTTATCATTGTCTAACCCGTAAGTGTTAGGTATCTCTGTATGCTAATCAACCGAAATTTATGCAAGTCTATGCAAGTTGTTTCTGTATTTGGAAAGGTCAGAAAATTATCATTTCATACCATGGGCCTCAAAGATTTAGTCATCCTTTGCTTTCTGATCCGCCGTTTCCTTTTCGTTGCATTTCGCTCATTTTGGCTTTACAAATCTCTTGTAATCTTACCAGGGATGCTCAAGAAGGACTTCAAGGTGCTTTCCAAATCTTTGGCAGATTTGTCTAGGAGTAGCGGGATTTCCTGTGAAGTTATCTGTTATTTATTTGTTTCATAAAAAGTCCGTAAAAATTGTGAGCAACATTTCGCGTCCGTTATACGCAAATCATATAAAATATGCGTCCTCTTCTTACAACCCATCCCACTACAACTGCATATGTGCTCGCACAACCACCTGCCGGTTGTCTGTGGTATCTTAGCTTGCCCGATTTCTTGGTAACCCAGAACACATCGCGTCTAAACCAAGCTCACTCTAACCGTAAATCTTCTTTCTTCTTAGCTTCCCATAATTTCTTTGCAATTTGGCTTGCTTATTGGTTCTAATCTGACTGTGGCTAATGAATATTCACCTGTCGGGGTGCATAAAGCAAATGCTTGACATCATTTTTGCTGGATGGATCGTGAAAAAATATCCATTTGAGAAAAGGAACTCTTATTCAGACACTATGAACAACAACTCTAATTTACGAATCGATCTCGCGAAGATATATGCATTTTCTATTTGCCCGATGAACCAAATATCTGAATTCGGTGGTATATATATGAAATATAAAATCTATGCATTAAATAATGATACATATACAGTTATTGCTGGCACACGTGCGACAACTTGACCTTCGTCAGGTCTCTTCCCTACAACACCTTATGTTATAAGCCCTTATTCCAGTGTTTGAATATACAGGTAATGACCAAACTCGTGCAACATCCTGATTTTCATCACATTCGTTTCTCTCAATGCTTCGTTTTTCCAGCCTCAATCACGGGAGTGCACATGATATCGCCCCACATCAGACGCATTATATGTGATATAATATGCACTTATGTTTTTGTTTCAATTAGTCACATGCGATTTAAATGTAGGATTTCGCGATTTTGACGATGGTTGCTGGTATATCAGTTGTAAAACAACAAATCCAGAATGTATTCGTTGATTTGCCTATTTACCGTGAACTGGATCAAGAGAGATAAGCAATTTAGAATGTGTGCTCAAATTAACAAACACTGTCATGGAGCAGGAATATTGTATTGAAAAGAACGAATTCCCATGCTGCTTTGCCTAAAATATTTTCCAAATCTGAGCTGTACCTTTCAAACTACTAAATATTTTAACGCAACACTCAAGGTCGCGCAAATCCAAACGGTGTTACGAGAGAACTAAGAAAATAAATATTGGAGATGCAATCAGGAATAATTCCACTTTACCCATAGCCATCAATATACAATTATGACGTTGAAGACTGAAATGCATTTCCGAAATGTTTGCGGTTTGTCAAATGCCATTCAAACGCACAATTTCTGCATTTTTCTGACGGATTCTTGCATGCAACCAGTCCTCAGGGGAAACAAATCCTAAGAATTTATTAATAAATATAACTCATTAGCATGATAGAGGTATTTTACTTTTCTGCTGTCGATACCCTGTATGCCCTACTTCATTTTTGAGCACTTGAACCAGAGGTTTTACACGGAGTTCACCAAGTGAAAAATCAAATCATATTTTGCAGTTTCCTCCAGCACATGCTCCACCCTGGCCACTGACCGCCACTGTCGAAGCAACTATTCCAAATACTTGTGGTGACCTATATAAACACACTCTTGAAAAAATAAGAAGACTGAATTTGAAGATGCCCTATATCAAATATATTTTGTTTAGTTCTGAGTCGTAACTTTTGAAATATTACTAACTTTATCGCCACACTGAGGGTCACGCCAATTCAAATGTTAATACAGGAGAATTAAAAACATTGCAGTGAGAGATAAAGTTCAAAATGAATGGTTTTCATCCATAACTATCGATTCACGAGAATAAAAGTGGAAACGGAAATGTACTTTCCAAATTGAGGGTCATGTAGTATGAGTTCTATCAATAGTTTTGAGTCGTTGTCTAAGTACATCAAACTAAGTCGGCTACATGTTTCTAATAAACGCCGCAGTCCAGTTTCTAGGACACATTTTAGGAATTATTCAAACAACATTTGAAAACAATTTGCTTCTCACGGTTTCCAGCTGTTCTCATGGCTGGTATATCAAAGGTGAATTGACAGTAGCAATTAGGTCCCATAAGAGTATTCAATAAATCCTCAAAAGCTCAGAAATCTGGCTGAGGTATTCTCTACAGCAACAAAATGAAATAAAGATAACCACGCATCAAATTTGTTTTTTTTTGTCTAAAGTTGTAAAGTTGGCAATCATTCTTGATCGGCCATGGATTTAATGTATTATAGGAAATCAGAGTGATCAAGAAATGATAAAAGAAGGTTCATTTTTGTTGTGAGATCAAAATTTATCTCACCAACAAAAGGAGACTTCAGTGGTTCGCAACCACAGAATCCATTGGTATTTGAACCGTGGCACACAAGGGTTGATCATCCAACTCGTTGCTCCCTGGCCACCTGATTAACTATAAACGCGCTGTGCTAAGGCGCTCATTGATTTAATCACCGGTACACTACGGTTGAGTAGTCACTTATCCCAACTGAGTACGGCATTGGTACTAATGTATTTACCTTACTCGTAAAAATGAAACAAAATTCTCAAGCCATGTGGAAGAAAGGAGCACAACGTATAAACCATAAAGAACAACTCCCAGGAAATTAGGCAAGTTCGGGTGTGGGTAAAGATCTACGAGTTATAAACGTTGCTGACTATTCATGAGTAGTTACTTTGTCTAAATGATGATGGAATTTGTCGCGATGACCGACAAGAAAGAATGCTTAAGAAAACCGCAAGTTAAACACAACTACAGTTTTGTTCAACAGCCCTAGAAAACCGTTTTCTCACATGAACTATAGTCAACCTTGTACCCAGGGCACACCTTCCTTTATGGTGGTGAGTAAACTTCAACTACGTATATTCTGATACAACCGCAGCTACTCAACAACAAGTACCAATCTTCCGCAGCTTCGTGCCCCAACAGAACAGTGCTGCCCGGCGAAAGATGGTGAAACGTCTTCTGCATTTCGCAAAGTTCGGACACCCCTAGACAAATAAAATGAAGGTTCTACAAACTGGTGCAACATATTCCAGACTCACGATGGATAAGCATAGTCTTTGAATTAATCTTCTATACTTTCTGTTATGTAGCATTTCTTGTTACGTTTGATATTTTTTCTCTGATATCTTTGTCTTGCATAAACCGAAAACGCTTTCTGTGACATTTTAGGCAGTTATGTTTCAACGCAGCTTAACAAATTTGAGCTTCAGGATAAGTCTTATATCTGTACATACTATTCGTCAGAATAACTCTTCTCATAATAGTCCTAGTTATGTGAAAAAACGATTATAACAAATTCATTAACGACACTTTGTGGTACAAACAGATAGATAGGTGGATAAATTTTGGTCATATTTTCTAAGCAAAACTGTGGAACATGTATTCACACTGTATATCTGCTATGAAACGATTATACACAAAGCTTTGCTCAACAGGAAAAAACAGATGAAGATTGCTGTAAACAGGAAGTTGCATGCAATCACTGCAAGACCGAGTTTTGTGAGATGATCCGTCTAACTTCAAGCTATTTTTGAAACATTTGGACCGGTTGAGAGCTGATAAACTACAGGGGATAAATTCAAAACTTTGATAACCATTTAAGTAATATGATATAAAAAGAGAAAAAAACGTACCTACTCGTCTCACGTGACTACATACACTGTGCAAGTTACTGTTGCACGCAAACATTTCGTCAGCAAACCTAGCACGATTTCAGTGAATGACCGAATCAGATACACTTATTGAACACTTACGCCGAGCAAATTTTGAATCTGACCAGAATCGGTTTGATCCTGTGATGCGTAGGACCACAGTCCGGCTATCTTTGTCTGGTTCCATATCACTGCGCCACTGGGGTCGAATAATTCATGCAACTGCTCAAAATCATTCGTACCCAGTAGACCTCGGCATTGTCCGTGCCAGGACCCGTCCAGCTGTATGCGAATATGCCCAAGGCGTAAGTCAAACAACATTGAAATCAGCTCGTCCGGACGATTGTTTCCAATCACACTCAAAGTAATGCGATCCTCGTTTCTAGTCACACGGACTACGGTGTTTGAATCCAATTTTCTTACATATGGTAAGCAAATCGACGTTCCCGTGGCACCGTCGAACTCTTGAACCTAACGGGAAATAGCGAGTGGTAGAACTGTCGTATCGATTCAAATTCATTGCAGAATTCGGATTATTATCAAGTTATATATAGATATATGTATATGAATATAGTATAAAATATAAATCGTTAAGTAGTAAAGGTCAATAAAATAGTGACCTGGAGATTCTTCAGCCTCTATCCATATCCCTCCCTTCTGTATTTCTTCACGCCGTCTTGGTTTGGCCTAAGCCGTATTCTGAATGTTGATTGTATATTTTTCTAGTAAAAAAGAAAATAACTAACATCATACATATACTCCAAGACAGCAGTTCTGTCCCATATCACAAGTTTTATAATATCTCCACTTTGAAATGGAACACAGCAACCATTCCGCGTTTAAATACATTAGTTTATAGCAAAAGATCTGAATACAAAATTTCTGATGCCTTGCTCTCTCTAATGGATCGGGTTGGCCTCTCCTTATTAGAATCTTGACATACCATTTGGACAGACCAGCTAGGAATTTCCCTTCTAGATCAATCTTTGGCTCCTACTCTGTTTGATTTTCTCTTGAATTGTAATGCAACCTCTAGGTTGGAATGCAAGTGATGCCCTATATAGTGTTGAGATCTGGACTGTGTGCTAGTCACACAGTCAGTTCAACGAAACTGATTATCAGATTCTGCTCGAGTGTGAGTCACACAGTATCCTTCTTCTAGAGTACGGTCTCCGTCCAGCAGTTCAACCCCAACAATCGCAGTTGACAGGGTTCCAGTGCACAAACTTACACTTTTGAATCTTAGATGTCATACAGAATGATGCGAAATTGCATCTCATACTATTAATGAATAGGTATCATTGATCCATCAACTGGAATACCGCTCTTCTTTCCACGAGTAACAGTATCATGAATCCGTCCTTTCGTTTGCGCTGAACTTTTGTCATCACCTAAGTAAACGCATTTTCATGTGTTCTTAAATACAACGGTGTAAGTTACTCTTGAAATGGGAAGCCTAACGTATTAATCTTCACTTATCTGTCTCTGACGGTTTTCGTGGGCTGACCATTCCCTTTTCGTTCACTTTTTACCGTGATGTCCGAAACTAGAGGCCTTGATCTGGCGTCGATCTCGTTGGTTGTTACGCGTATACTGCGCACCATATTATACGACTCTACGATTAGCCTCCTGTCAATCTGAGAAAGTCTCTTGCAAGCGATGGTGGCAGTGATTACCTCGGTTAGACTGATTCAAAGCTACTTGTTGATAGTCGTTAGATATACAAATATTTATATCTATATATTATGTATTAATCAACGCTAATCTCATTTGCATCTGGAGCTACAAATCAGATTTACGTTGCCTAATTCATTTCGAGAGTTCAAGTATAACAATAAGGAAACAAAAGAATAACGAATCCGCACTCCTGATGAACGGCAAGAACCGCAAGACCGATAGTGTGTTGGCGGGATATTTTCTAAGTCATTTGCATACTACTCATTGTGTGTGTACAATGAGGTTGAATTAAAACACACATTATGGAATCGTGCGCAATGATCGTAAGAATATTGAGCGTCCAGATTTATACCTACATAAAAACAATAATTTTATACATAAAAACGCTTTCGGAAGTTAAAAGAAAAGCCGGAAGCGGTAGAAGGTGATCCCAGTTTGAACGTGTGGTGAATGCATGTTTCTTCGTGCGACGGAATATTTCATTTTGCGTGGTTCATTCTATTTCTCTAAACTGGTCCCAAAATATTCCAGATCGTTAAGAAATCTCCGTTTCCCGGGCAATATCCACCATTGACGAGAAAGCCACCTAGTGAGCGTCAGTGGGTGAACGTTTTCTGTACAGCTTTTTTATTTTGTCTTTCAGAGGTGACATGAAACATGTGTAACAGTAATAATGAAATAGGCCTGTTCAGCTGAAATGCCAATTCGGGTTACCAATAACCATTTTTCTTCGATGGAGAGCAATGGAATAGCTGGTTAGATTTGCCTTTTTTCTTTGTAACTGGTTAGAAGAATTGATTTCAGGATGTTGACAACGAATGAGGGTTACACAGAAAAGGAAAAATTGTAGCTCTAGCTTTAAACCATATCAGTTTTGACCAATATGGAACAGATATTTGAGGTTAAGTAGGAAAGTTATGACATATCTGGGTCCCAAAAAAAGATCTACGAGTCAAAAGTGACAGCAAAATAAGAATTAAGCAAATGCCTATTGGTGACCCCAACCTCTTTTTGAACGTGGCGCACGTGATTTTATGCGTTGATGTGCTCTCAATCATGATGGGCAGAGAAACAAACATGCGAGAACTTCCTAGATGTGCGAGTGTACTGTCTNCCAATTATTTTGATCCTCAATAGGATAGGAAACAGCAAAATGGGAAAAAGAGAGTTCAATGCCTATTTTGTTGAAATTCTTGTTGAAAATGTTTCCCGTTTATGGAAAGAGCAAGGGAGAAGAAAGACAAATGTTATCCCGTTAAGAGTTCGCATGAAAGAATTTCTCTGTAAGCGAGGATGCCACATACTGTGGTACTTTTTCAATTCCAGTATGGTCGATTTATGAGTAGGAATAAAGAACAAATAGGGTTTATGTGTTTGAACGTTTTTAGTCATGTTCATTCAAAAAATAACACGCTTCCGACTGTAGTTTGAATAATTTGTTTTTACTAGAACCACCTATGCGGTCAACCTTTGGCAACAACATTGGAACATTGACTAAACGGCTCCATTGTGCGAGGCTGTTTTGAATGACGTTTGACGTTAACTTTAAGGTAGAAAATTTTCCTAAATGGCAAACAGTATTTATTTAAGGTTGGTACTGCTGTTTTACAACCATCAGTGGCTCTAGCTGATAAACTCAGTCAAGTGAATATTTTGTGTTTGTGTTTGCCACCACGCCGCTGATTGTGTCATCGTAAGTTTTACAGAATCACGATAACTAACTGNCTAACTGCTAGAAGCTTCGAATTCAAGCAGATACAACCATGGAGTGCACCAAAGTGTTTTTTAAAGGGGAGGGGGTGGGGTGAAACACAGGATAGACTGTTCACAATGGGGGCAATTAAACCCAGTGTCACATATCATATAAACCGTTGGCAGGAAAAATTCAGCGATTGTTGTTTGCGTTACTACTCAGTAGCTTCATGATCTCATGCATCACATGGATAGTGACATCATCATCATCGTCATCATCGTCTGACGGGGAGATACAGTAAAGTGAACTTCGCTGATCGCTACTAAGGTCACAATGTATACTATTATTATTATTATTTACTAATTAACTGATAAAGTACAAGATAGCGAAAGAGACTGGGATGCGTGGGAAGGCAGAAAACAAAGAGAACCCCTATGGTCAACACATAGAGTGTGCAATCTAACTGTTCATGCATATCTTTTCATGCATTCTGACCTGATAAGAAACGACAACAAGAACGCCACTGCTATTGTTTAATTGATTAGTTATCTCCAACCGGCAAGTTACGGAGTCTTTTGGACCCCAGCTAGGAAAGTGGGGAACATATTGTGCCTATTCTCTCTGCGCATTTCTTCAGGCCTCGTTTCCACGTCATATATATACCTTCATGTGGTTTCTTCCAACCTGTGCCGCAAATGCCAATGTGGCGAGGTGCGGTAGATGACAGTGGTCATGTGCAATACAGGTGCCTTAACTAGAAACGCAAACTTGCATGAATTCGATGGGACAAACAATTCTCCATGGAATGGTTACCAAATACGATACGGTTTACCTCAGAGTTGCTTATAAGCTCGCTCCATGCAACCCACGCCAAACGACGTAAATACCGGTAGTTCATACAGATGGTTTAATTGCTCGTCAGCATCCAATAAAGCGATCATGGTACCAATTATCATTTCATTTGATTTCATTTAGGTTTGCGCCAAACAAGACACGCAAAAGATACCATTGCACGAACTCACTAACTGGGGGACAGAACAAAATCAGTGTGAGTCCATGTGAAATGAATTCGTTGGAATTTCGCGCTGTGATGTGATGTATTTTTAATAAGCTAATAACGATAAATTGGATCGTAAAACACTTTAGTCTTTATGTGTTTTCGATTTCGCTCCAAACTCTGTGTGATTTTGGTTGTGTTACCTGCTTCAATGTATCTGAGTAAAGTATACCCGTTCGTGCACGCGTGTCTAAGGTAAAACAAATATCAACAAAGGTGAGGTCGAGCAGCATTTCATCTTAGTCTTTTGTTAAACGTTTAGCTCGATGAACTAAGATCGTCTTGTAGGTTACCGAAGTACGGGTCACGTATAATGGAATCTATAGTGCACTGTAAGCGTTCGTGAAGTCTAGTTTACATGGAATGCTATATGTTAAGCAACTCCACCTTCTGTTACATGCCGAATTTGACATAGAATGAGATGCTGGGATTGGAGCAGCCTATTTGATATCACAGGCAACAACCACAGCACGGGCTCTAAAGTGTACGGGTGGGGACACAATGCAGTGTAATTTACGGTTAATTCCCAACAAGAGGCAGGCAGTTACATATTACTTTTTTTGATCATTAGACAAAACTTCGGACCAAAGATGATCAAACATAAAACGACTAAAAACGATAAAATAATTCGTTTCGGTTAGTCACCTAAATAGATAGATATAATTTGGAGAGACATCAAAGCAGCTGGAGCAGTGTTCCAAGAATAAGGCCATTTGCAATGTATTTATTGGGTCTTAGACAGAAATGTTCACATAAGATGAGATGCAGACTATAGTGAGATGTTCTAGGGATAAAGTCAGTGTCCTGCAATAGTCGCATTGTATGGAAATACAAATTTAATTTCAATTGTGTTGAAACCTACTGGGTCCCTTAGTTTTTTACAACTAGCAAACGTTTCGTATGCTGTCAGTGATAAAATTTAATATTAGAGACAACCCAAATAAAAAGTAACTGCAGGTAAAAAAAATGTTTTAGAACTTTTTGGTTGTATGAACATTGATGTACTTAGTTACACTAGGGAAGGCAAGTGCGCGAACGTACTCAGCTGCGAACATACGGACGGCGTTCACCTGCCGGCTAATAATCAATGAAAATCTTGGGGATAAACTGACCGTTCACTTCTTATGGATGGTGTTGACATACTAATGGCACACCTTCGGCATCTATGGGGTATCTGATAGGAATACTACCGCGGAGTTGGTTGAATGCCATATCCACTTGGTGTTAGCCTCCTCCTCTTTTGTATCCATCATAAACTTAACTTTCACGTATGGTTCCATGAAGCTGAGACATGAATTAGTGGTCAAACTCCAGCAAATCCATAGGTAAGTGAAATAAACCAGTGTGAGAGTAACCGAGGTTTAATGGCTTTGGTGAGAAGGTGAACATTCTGAATGAACGGACGAGACCCAACGGCTATGAAGAAGGCCCATCCGACTTAGATGGATGCAGGGACACCTAGGTTAAAACATCTACTAAATGATGAATTGGCTCTTCCGAAGCCACTGGCAATCAATTATCAACACTGCTGCCTTACAGCCTGCACTTGGCCGTGCGCAGTCCAGAGGCGTGCCATCAAAAAACACCTAGTAAGACCATGGCTCATCTGACAGAAACCGACCTCCAAGTAGACTCGTCTAAGGTGATCCACAATGGACCAAATAATTAATAAAACTCCAGAAGACGAGGCTGTCTCTAAATAAACAAAACAGTCGCAATAAGATACATGAACTGAACTCATTGATTACAGAAACTGGAAGTGCCGTTGCCGTGAACAATGGTGATTAACGTATCAGGAACCAGCATCGTTCATGTCACGACGAAAACATGAGATCAAGGGAATATTCCAATTTAGCAAAACTGGCATTGTGAATATACATATTTCCAATTCTATGTATTTCTCATAGTTACCATTCAAATTTGTCTCATCTACCTTTATTTGTTGAACCAATCCCGTTCACACATATCACTTGTACAGTTGTATAAATTTGATGACAAAGTTACAAAAAATGGGCTTTTAGCAACAATGATTGGGTTTTCTTCAATCAACGGCCGGCGATATATTTTAAACTTGACGGTTTGTGGCAGAACTGTCGATCAGCCGAAGTTTCTCACTTCAGTAGTTTGTAGTTTGAAAGGACCAAACCCATTCTTAGTAATGGTGTTTAAAAGCTTCTTAGGGAATAATATTGAAAGATGCAGTAATTTTCCTCTGATTCACTTCGTTTTATCATAGTTGGTCACATTATTATTTTTCAACTACAAGAATTACCTGTCAGAAACAGCTTCAGTTTCGAAAGTTATTTTTGCGAGTAAATAACAAGCAATATGATTTCTTTGAAGAACTTTGAAAACAGTCTTTTGAGAGCAACGTCTGATTGAAAATCAATCGCATCGGTCTATCGTTGTGTGAGATGCGAAGTGGTTGTAAATGGGGACTGGGGACTCCAGCGCCATGTCTCGGTCTGGCCCTTAATGGCAAGACGAACTGAAATCTGTAGTTTGCAGTTGATTGAAAAAACAACCCAATCCATCTCTGATCTTTCTGATCATATCAGAGTGCCTTTGTTTTTGTGATCTAGCAATCTTTCTCCTCAGTTAGGAAATGCATCGCAAAAGACTTTGAAGTCTACAAACGGTTAAACGCGACTGGAGTGGCGAAACATAGGCCAATTGGGCCAACGAAAGCAGATTGAAAGTGGGTGCTTTTATCTGATGTTGAAGTAAGTAGTCCAAGTGTGATGTACTCGGCACTGCTCTGGACAATGGAATAGATGAAACTGTTTTATCGAATCAAGTAAAACACTCAGGTTTAATATTGACGAATAGACATTGATGGTTCAGTGAAACTAGGAGATTAATCAACTTAGACATGTTTGTATTACAAGATTTTGAATTCAGGGCATCGAATTTACTCCAATCCATAATTGGAGTGCACTATATATGCTGGAAAGTATGCACTGTAATGTCGGACTTGCCACGTTGAGATAAACAGTAATCGGTCGTTCATTGGAAAATCTAACTCACAAGCAGACTGTTGGGTAGTTGTTTGATGTGAATGATGTTCAAGTGCCAGTTCAGGTCCCAGCTTAAAACAGTGATCTTACTGTAAATGCATTTTAAAAATACATGGTTCGACTTTTCTACCCGGCAAATGATCTCACAATGCTTCGTTCAAAGCAAGCATGTTTGCGTCAACAACAACAATAACAACAACAACAGCAACGACAACAACAAGGTTGTACCCACTTGACCGTTGCTTGTCACACGGACAGTCACCGGACCGACAGTGATATCAGTGTGCCAATCACTGTTGTTCGCAGAGTCTGCAAACTGATGCACAACACGTAGTTTTCTGTTGCCGTCGGTATTTGCCACGAGCAAGTACGGTCCCGGATGAGGATAAGCGACCGGAATATACAGACCGTTGAATGTGATGATGTAGCCATTGTTTGTCTGGTCCATGAGCAGCCAGGCGGTGACTGTTTCCGGTTGTATAAATATTTTTAGAAAAATAGTATGACAGTATGAATGGTCCATTCGAGCAGGAAAATTAAATCTCAAGTTCAAAACCAAAATGTTTTGGATAAAAAACACTCTGAAATCTAAAACCGTATATGCTGAAATCAGCTGTGCTAGATTTTAGCGGCAGATAAATCCATAAAAAAGGACATTATGTCAAATCCTTGCACACGGCAAGTCTCCAAGTGAGTAATTATTTGGAACAAGTGAGTCAGTTGACGGACACTGGGAGAGGAGTTTCTTTCGTCTGCGCTTATCAGTCGCTTACTTATCACAGTTGGCAATATGACAGCGTATTCAAAAGCTTTTACAAAGAACCTTCTATGACGAGATTATATTGCATTTATCCACAATCCAATAAAAAATGGTCACCCAGTCGAATTCACCTTCCGCTACATTCAAACATTTGCTTGCCGCTGCAATGAGATATATATTGGTAAAACCGGCTAATCACCGCAAACAAATTCCAAAGTGAGGATCGAACTGGGAGATCTCACAGGTAGAACGTAAGTGTATTACCCACTTGATCACCTGTGAGCTGATCAGATCATTTTTATTTTTTCTACACACGAGGTAGCACATTCTTTCTTCGCAAGTCTGTTGCGGGCATTATACTTGGCTTGTCGCATCACTAACCTCCAAGATTATTAGCATTATGAACCAGATTACTTGTTACGTAAGAGCAATGGAGGATTTGATGCAATTATATGGTGAATTTCTTTGTGTACGGAACAATGAAAATGTACACTAAAAGAACAGGAAGAATGGCAAAGCTGTTTCGACCTAGTTGGGTCTCGTGAAAGGTGAGAATCCGGCAAGTTTAAAACAATATACCGCTTCCTGACCTTTCAGTTCACGCTTCAATTGCCCTGAACTTCACCATGTTTTTAAAATTTAAAACTTAGCGATTATTTAGAAATGAGCGGTTTGCACAAAAATGGAGTTTTCGTGAATGGAATCGCGCCGTTTCAAGAAGTATCTGTGCTGTGTTTAATTATTTCAATTTTATAATGGTAAAAAGCGTATGTTGTTAAGATCAGTGTTTATGTTTATATTTCGGATGTACAGCGTCGATTTCAATGGATGAAAACAGAGCAATTCGATGAAAACGCTTGAGTTATGCATTCGAGACCACAGAGTGAGGTACGTAATAGAGACTGGTTGGGTATTTTGATCATACGCGATTTGTACGGACATTTGCTGTCCGTCGAGCCCTAAATGTTTGTGTATGTCTGGTGACGATAAGCGTTTTGAAGAACATGACTAGGTTACACTGATAAACCCAATGTGAACATGTTGACCCAGCATGAACAATCATGAATCCCACAAGGGAGGTTCGGAGTTTGAATTTCGGATGGACTGTGCACTGTTCATGCGGTCCACTCTGGTTGACCCCAATGACCTGACGATTGCGTGTGAGGATGAACTCAAAAGCCTGAGCACCTGAAATTATTCATCCATTATGTATTTGTTCGTTATACTCTGAGATGATTTTAGAACCAAACCAAAATTGACCACCACATTTCAAACGGAAAGCTGAGGAAGACAATTCGGAGTAAGCAGATGATTACGTTTTGAATAATTTCCTACTAACCGCGATATCATGTTACCAAGGGAGTCTTAGTGGATTTTGGCAAGAAACAAACAGTTTACCATCCATTAAAGTTGAACTTATTGCGGATGAGTTCTATGCAGGACGTCCGTATTTTTGCAACAATCGACTAGCATTCAAAAATAATTGAAACTCATTATGCATCTTAGTCAGGAAGAAACATTTGACAAAGTTAAGTAGTATTTCATGCGATAAATTCAATGGACTGTAACGGAATAATAAATCGCAATTGAACGGCAAAAGGATTTATTGATGTTTCACGCTCTTTTAGTGAAAGTCAAAGGTGTCACGTAGTTGTATATTAATGTGCCTTTATTGGATAGCAGTTAAATTTGAATTTAAAAATGTAGTTTGGATTTTTTCACAGAAAACCTTAAGATCTGGATTTGTTATTGAACGTGTATCGTTGCACTGTGTTTTACATTACTCACCTTTGTAAGGAGGTATGAGATGAATAAGTTTGCGCATTGCCTCGAAGTTTCGCTGATATTGATCATACGCGTACATTATTGATTTCATTCCTCGTGAAGGATAAATCCAGGATAGCAACTGAAATTGAAAAGACGCGATCAGTAAATTGGCTTCGGACATTATAACTTACAAATGCTTACCAAATTTAATCCATCATTTTCCGAGAAAGAATTCGATCTCACACTGGAGAAATCAAAATGAACTTATTACCGGGAATTAGTCAGCTTCTCCTGTGATAACGATAGTAAATCTTTTAATCCTGTCCCGATACAGCGCAAATTCACTAACCATTTCTTTATGCGCGCAGGAAACATGTGAGTGGGGCCTGACAACACAAGTATCCTGGTCCACTATTCATCTAGTTTTCCATTTAACAGCTTTCGGGTATATACACATCTACAGTTTTACCAGCTTGAGCGTTTGTTTCACACAGTAACCTAAACAACAGAACCAATTATCTACAAAAGATATTTCTCTTTGGTGACGTTAATGTATACAGTATACACACACTATTACGCAGAAAGATCTAAAACGTATTTTGCTTCCTCACTTGTCATCATAATGCTGTAATGCTCATTAGCAGTGCGGTTAAAAATATTTTTCGGTGTTTGAGAAGTAAGTTGTAAGTTTACTCGTAATATTGCAAAAAGTGAAAGTCAATGCTAAAAGCAATTGTAAAAGTGTCTCTGATCTATTAGAAGAACAATAAACCGGATTCTAGACAACATCTGACGTCGTGATAATAAAAATATTTTGATCCAGGTTGCAAGCTGATGTTATTAACACAAGTCCGGAAGAGCACTATTTCATTTGGTGCTCCATCGACTGGTTAAGTGGTAGACCAAACAAAGGGTTAGAGGAGCGGTGAAGTGAGTGACATGAAGTAAGTCCGATTAGAATAAACATGAATGATTGATAGGCGTGGTATATGTGCGTGGTTTGATGAATGAGTGAGTGGATAAAGTGGAGTTAAAGGACAGAGATTACGTAGCAAGATATAGTACATAAAAGGCTTGGGATTCCTACAAACTATTTCGGGGCACAATCAGGAGAGGTATTGCATTCACCTGGGTCGTTGACAGCTTTTGTGCAACGTTCTTTTGACCTCGTAGAAAGGACGGTAGAGGACAACGGCTTGTGTGATTAGTCAGTCACAAGGTGGGTTATCGCTCCTTCTCATCCGATGTTGACCAATCAATGAAGCAATGAACAAACCTATTTCTTAACTCATGTTCCCATTAAAAGATTTTTCCAAAAATATCGCATCGATTCACCCAGTCTCAGGTCGAACACCTAAATTGGTCGAAAAACTCAGGGAGTTATGCACAGTGTATGGGAACATCAATAAAATGTTTGATGCCTGGTGAAACGAAAAGCGATAAAAGCCTAACATCCCGACACAGCGCTCTTGATTCCGATTACCTGTGTGACTGATATCGAAAGCACATCCCATAAATGTACCTCTCCGGGTAAGTTGGCAAACGGACCCGAAAACATAAAACAATAGAGAAACGGTACTGCCGGTCAATAAGGTCAATGGCTGCAGCTGGTCATACCAAGTCCCAAGGTGATCCGGTTGTTGATTTACACCAGTGTAGATGTAATTGTTTATCCACCCACGGATGTCAACCGCCATCCACAGTCTTTTATCTTAACGTTAGGAGTGGCTAAACATCCGGACATTCTGCGAGCAACTGTTAAGCTTCGACATCGGGTTTCAGATTTATTTCTGGTGAATATTCACCGTTGGAAGCGATCACTGTCTGTCTTTTGAAGCTGATTGTTTAAAAGGCTTTGATTAACTAATGATGTGTTGAACACTTGAAACGAATGTGACAAATTTATCAGCCCAAGGCAACATCTCCATCATCAACTCCATTAGCATTTGATCGTCTGTGCAGACCTTAAAATTATACCGAACTCTCCAGTCTCAGTTCCCCAAAATCAACCAATTTATCGCCGCCACTTTGCAGCCCACATAGATGAAGCTGTACACTACATGAAAATCATAATTCTCCGAAATTTACTAGTCCCAGACGCCTGCCCCCGGCCAAACTAATGATGACCAAGGCAGAGCTCAATTGCATGCTTGTCCTTGAAATCAAATCGTTCTCGTAAAACCCTTGGATCCCAACATTTCTTGTGGTTTCTAAGTCAATTTTTGGAGGTCGTACAAGTTACCTTCTCCTCCTCCTCCTCCTCCTCAAAACTGATGACTCGAAACCATTATGCATTAGGCGAATGGCAGGGGTCCACAACCACTCTTTGTTTATTATTGATTCGAAGCAGTCACAGATCCTTGAGTTACACCTTGAGGAGAATCCTACCAGTAGCTTCTAGCCTGAAGAAGCTTCAAAGGTTGCACTTTATCTCATAACTGGCGAACAATATTGGTCGCGTTTTTGGTCAAAAGATTGTTATCGTTGAAGCATCGTCACGTGTGCATATTTCCATTTTGTTCCGATTTATTAACTCTCAAATGCCTGAAACACTAGAGTGTATCTTAAGCCACCTTGCTTTAACCTGTATCTGAAATTTGTTGGAGTCCCACCGTTTCAGAAACACAGGGGTATGTTTGAGACAATTCCACCAACAAAAAACATTTCACATTACTCTCAGATTTCGTGGAGATGTTTAAAAGCACATTCATTCCATTTTGCATCCTGACACCCACTCATCTGGTAACAAGCATTTTGAAAGCTCGTGGTGCTTCATTAAATCATGACAACTCTGCACACTCCTGGTGAAGTATTCGTTGATAGCACCACCAAACATTTAGATTTTGTATTTTATTTGTCATGTTGAAAGACTCCCTTCATTTCAAGACCATCAGGTGTAACATCCGTCTAGCACAAAACTCAGCTGGAGGTAATAAGCCTTCCTATTATCATTTCTGTTATCAAAGCGTTAAAACACCCCATACAATAGTCCTCATTGTTGAGATAAACTTCATGTTATCCGCACAAACGCACATCCGGACCCAGTGGTTGTTGATCATTTCAAAGTTAGGAAAACCCTTGTCTCATTGTCATTGTCAGCTGGTGAATCGCTATATCTATCAAATAAGGCCCTTACTTCGGCAAAGCATTTCTCAATTGCTAAATCATGAAACACTGGCAGTGTTTTAATTATTCTCTTGTTAATTACAACACAGCAATTAGATGAAAACAGATCCTTTTTCAATCAGGCTGATTCCTAATTTGTAAGTGAAAAAGCATTGTTCACTTTCTTTTGTTGAGTGCTCTAATATTTAACTACACATTCAAGAATAGGAAAGTGTGACTAACCAAGACCTCTCAAGTGCCGACAACATTACAAGCATTTCATGGCGGTTTTGGTTGCGGAATTAGAACACAAAAATATCTAAGACGATGTGACTGTGAGTGTGCGAGTAACGCGGCCCGATTCATTTCAAATAGTAATACTTGTACTGAAATCAAACCATAGAAACACAGCTCAATCAGCCCAAACTGAAAGAATTTCCAGCAGAATTCAAGGCCTAAACTTCTGCTAATAGAACTACTCTTCTCTGTATGGTTTCCAGCCACATTTGGAGGAAAGCATTATGACTTCTCGGAAGTAGCACGAATTAGTTGCCTAACTTGGTTACGAAACACCTGCAAACACCAGCGCCAGGTCAGAAAACTCTCCAGCACCAACATCCTCATTCCGAGCTTCGAACATTTAATAACACATCCACCCAACTGTTCTTCAACTTTCAACCGCCAATGGAAGGAATATTATCACTCGAATGAAAGACATTCAGAATATGTTTACAAGTGAGGATCAATTATGTTACAAGCTGTTGAATATTTTAATCACGTTCCTTTATTCTTCACAGAACTCTAAATGTACCTGGTAAAATATTGATTTGTATTAGCTTAGTTAAGATACATTAGAAACAAATAAGGTTTCCTCGTTAGAGTGGTTTGTTTGGATTCTACTGGCTAATATGGAATAGAGCGAGGAGTATTTTGGGCTATATATAGCCTAATATACAGTACTGGTCGATTGTGATGCACTGAAATATTTTCTCTATGACCAAGTGGAGTTTCATCGTATATATTCCTTGTTTTAATGCAGACTAATCGACTATTACTGTACATAAACTTTACATCCTGGTTATTATCAATGTTGATTTGTTGTAAATAAAATCTTTTCTATCCCCTTAAATTACCTCCTAACTTGTCATGCTGTAGGCCAACCACTACTGATGAAATGGGAGTATCCTGTACATTTTGAGTTATTCCATCTTCTGAGTATAAGCGAATCAGGAAAATCAATGCTATAAAAACTCACCAAGGCTTGTTTGTTATTATTTGGAAAAAAATGTAGTCTAGTACAAATACTGTTGCCTATACGAACACACAAGTGTTCCACAGGGACCTGTTGCTTCGGAATTAGCTGTTTGGCTTACAGTCACTCACACCTATTTCCAACGCATATGCCCCGTCATCATGATCCCTATCTGTTTGACCGGAGAAACAAATGAACGATCCAATCAGTTACAAATCAGCGGCCCTATTCCGGTCCAGAATTCTACACTACTATCTGCAGTAGTACAAAATGCGTATTTTTATAAATCACCAGAGTTAATTACCAAACCCATCATACAAGAAGTTGAGTAGATTTTAAAACAAATTTATTGTCTACCTTTTTCAACTAACTGTGATGAAGCTACTAAACCACCTTTATTCAAAACTCCTTTGTCCAGCAAAGTGGCTGATTCGCACCGACAAACGTAAGGATAAAATCCCGATAGTTGTATAGAGTGAGATAAGAGAAAAGGAAAAATTTGAACAATATGATGCTCACCTGCTTCGGATAAGATTGGGATCCGATTAATGTTTCAGTTATTTTTTCAAAGAGAATCGGAATGTGCACAGAAAGCTTGGCCAAACCGTTTTCCAAATCGGCTGTGAACTGGGTCAGGTGAGGTTTGAAAAATAGACGACTGGCGTTCTCAAAGTGACCGGTTGCCATTAGGGTGACAAGTTCCTGTAACTCTTTCCCAGCGAAAGAGTCCAAGGCAAGACGTTTGCAATATTGAATCTGCACAGTTGTGATCGGGTGTTAAACAATAGGGAAATCATGACCAAAAACAATCGTGTGTGACAATATTCATTGAACTACTGTCCATCAACACAACTGGGGAAAGTGATGCGGATATTTTCAGATTATTTATAATACGAAGGAAGGAAGTTGTCCTTTGAATTGCCGGGATTCCAGATCAAACTCAAACAGAATGATTCCTCAGTAGGAGAGTGATTGATCTCATTTCGCAAACCATGTGATGTAGTTCAGTTTTGGGAAGATCACAGTGTGAAAAAGCTCATTTTTAGCAATCGGATCAGTACAGTTTTGTATCCTAACTTCTCATTCAGGAGTGTAGTTCCTGAAACCGCAACTAGCATTCAAACTATTTATGATATCTTATTTTTCTGAATGCTTTCAACTGTTATGTTGCCACAACACTGGCATAATGGAATGCATGGCAATCATCCTGGAGGTAATTTCATGATTGGACATAAAAGTATTTGATTATTCTTCACATACATAAAATGCGTGTTACCACGTTTCTCAAACCTCACTCGAAATATGCTTGCCTTTATAAATAGCTGCGAGTGTGAACCAGGAAACCTACTACATCATTTGAAGTTTCATATGAATTTGAAACAGTTGTCCACTTTTAAAGTGGTTTTGACACGATTTGTATAGACACTTTCAGAAATCGTCCAAAAGACCCGCTGTTATATTGGCAGAATCCACGGAGATATTCTTTTCCCTGCCGTCTATCATTTACAATGTCATATCTGTGCTTTGTTAACAGATAAACGATTTCTGTGCAACCCATCACTTCATTTTGACCACACACAAATCCGTACACTAAAACGTGCCCACCCGTGTCTAAGCTCTCATCATGATCAATCACGTAGAGAATAAACGAAAAAACAACCTTCAACGTTCTCCCCACTCACTCAGTCACTCACTCGCATTCTGCATTCTGAAGAATAAAATAAAATTAATCTGCGTTACTTTTATCTGCAGGTGGAAGTCCAACGGTGTAACGGAACCATTTAGTCAGTTTAGTCCGGCAGGGAACATAATCCAAGGTCAAACTAAACTGCAGGTTTTCATTGGGAAACTTTGGGCTCTGAAAGATTGCAGCTAAAATTTGCAAGGCCTTGCGCATTTTCCAATAATACTGCGGGAAAGCTTGTTTTTGCTGTTACAATACATTACAGTGTATCTTGTGAGTCGGTTAGATTGTGCGTGAAGTTTATACATCGTACGACTCGTAGTCCAGATGAAGAAAGGATGCAATTAGTTTGACGCTGGCGACGCGGCACGTACACAAGTAGGCTCAGCACGAGTCATAATTCCAGTATTTATATATGATGACCGTAAGTATATTCATCTTAGTTAATAAAATTATGTTCAAAATTGGCTGTCAGTATGTCGGAAATACTAAATCATATTAGTAGTAAAGTGGCAAAATACTGCAGATGCATTTGACAACGTGCTTGCGAACAGAGTACTAACGAAATTCAGTAGATGTCATCTATCTCTTTTATGTTTTTTAATCAGGCCTATATTCTCACTTAATCAACTTTTACCTTGATTGTTTCTCCTTATTATGCATATGCTAATATTAATAGATAGCAAATGGATGATCACCAGAAGGGAGTAATGCAACTGCCTAGTTCCGGTCGACTGATTTCAAATGACGAACCAAGGAGTGCACAGCCCCCCTCTGTTTCTAGCAAACCAAATTCAGATTAGTACGCTGATAATTAAGCACGATTGTTCAGTCCCCTCCGGTTTATCCTAGAATCATCTAGCTCATTCCATCCGAACGAGAATCAAGNGGTTTATCCTAGAATCATCCAGCTCATTCCATCCGAACGAGAATCAAGCACCGTGTTTAGATGACGCAGTTTGTTTCGCAGTTCGTAGTCCAGTTCGTTGATAATCACGGGCCGTTTACTCGAATTGCACTTATGATGAATCAACAGTTTACTCCTTTTTTCTTTTTATTGACCACCTTTTCGTCGAATTGCAAGATCTATTTTTTCAGGAAGGAAAACGGAGAAGATCAAAGAGATGCCTCATGACTCAAAGATGAAAGGAAATATACGCGGTTTTGGAGACGATTTAACACTATCTATCTGACCGTTAGACGATGTCCTTGTCCGCTTTAAACAATGGTCCTAAAGGGTAACCAAGTAACTTTCGTTACCGTTCTTCTTTTCCTATCAATAGTTTCCTTCATATTCTTGCATTGATAGTGCATTTCACACATTGTGATCATCATCTAATGAATGAAATCATTGTATTCCAGTTAAAAACTTGCTCAGTCACTGCTTTTTTAACCGTTATACATGTGCAACTGTTGAACAAGAGTGAGGTAGAGACTGCTGAAAATTGAACGTCCTCATTCGTTTTCCGAAAGAATTCTTTTAAATTGATACTGATTCCAGATAAAAGGATTCTCCAAGTGAAGTAAGGTAATTTTTCATAGTGATATAAAATTCCGTTTATAATTTAGCCAAGGTAACATCTGCATCACCTTATTAAAATCTCCAGGACAATCTGAACAATATTGTGGGCTATTCCGAATCAAAATAATCTTATTACCCGGAAACAATGGCATGTTATTCTTTGGTTCAATTCAAGTTTTCTTTTAGAAATTCTCATGGAGTCAGAGAACTTATACGGTGTTTTGATACCATTAGTTAAGGAATAGAAACTGTGAATATTTCGTAAATAAAACAAGTAACAGATTTGTCTTAATAGCATCCATTCAATGTTATGCTGTCCACCCACTACAGCTGATCTAACTTTCATTTTTAGAAGACAACCCTATCTCGTAAACCGCAATGATTCACGAAATAAGGTTACGGGCGGTGTCCCTGACATCGTTTGTCCATATTTACCGAGTTTTCACTTCTCACGTACAATTGCAAACTGCAGAATAGAAGGGTAGCTTCAGACAAACCGGTTCTCATTGGTTTGATTTATTAGGTTTTACTGAGAAGCCTTATTGAACAGAAAAACGGCATTCGGGTAAATATTTTTTTCAATTTTTTAGATTGCTGTTATAACCTGGAAAGAGGAGGCTGACCAGGGAAAGCCCCTCGGCAACCTTCTCAGGTACAACCGCCGTTCAATGCCGGTTGTCTATTTTGCGAGCTTAGTGCCACCGCCACCTCCTGGGGTACGACTAGACCGAAAAGTGGTTGCTATCATGCAATCCGTTATGTTTTACAACAAAAATAACTTTGGAAATGTTTCGTACGTAATGACTTCAAACTTCGACAATGCATCACGGATTCTGGGTGCATTTTAGTCTTAGAGTCTAAGAATAAAATTTTATTATAAGATTATATTCGAGCGGTCAGATCTAGCTTCAAATTCACTAGTTGATAAACTCCAATGATCATCTATTTTATTAAAGTGTTAGGATAAAATAAGAAAACTCCTAAACCATTCTGTTTTTTCGAAGTATTTGGCCGATTTGCCGATTCTCTTTCCATGACGCGTTTTCCAGGTGAGGTCTTTAATTAGTACAGCTTCTAATTTCTTTCCTGAAGGGCAGGAAATTGAACAATGTGGTCAGCTTATGTGTACTTGAAGGTTTTTCAGAACTACATTTTGAACAATGATACCTAATAGATGAATCGGACAGGCTGCAACGTTTTACACCGGTGACTGATGCAATTAAATGAGAAATAAGTCAAAAGTAAATGATTGCTAATAGCTCCATTCGAAATTCCTAATCATTTAATGTGAACACGAGGATAGTTGATTGAGTTGAACTCCTGCATTGAGTCACACACACAGTTTCGCGCAAATGTCTGATGTTCAATGAGATGGTGCTCATTCGTAGATCGAGAAGTACTTAGTCGGAATGAAACATGTACCAGAAAGCCAAAATCCTGCATTGAAACAAAAAGGGGTCTGATGATCTGCCTGGTGGTCAAATGGTTAGTATGCTTACGTTCTACGTGTGAGGTCCGGTGTTCAACCTCGAGTTGGGTTTATGAATTGGCAAAGCTGATGAAACCCAACCAGATCGAAATAGCTATCCAGTTAAAGTTTCATTTGCTCTTTACACAATGCAATCTACCATATGAAATTCTGAATTGATATTGATATTTGGTTTGAAAATATTTTGGCAAGTAAGACGTGCCTAGATGGTCGGAGGAAGAAAACTAAATGTGAATTGCATCTTTACTACTGGTATCAGAAGCTCGCCAGTAGTGCAGATCCACCCTAAGTCGTCCAGCTGAATACGAAACTCTTCGCCAGGAAAGTGTTTATGTTACAGCCAGCTCACAGCGGTACTAGTCATAATTATCAATTCAAGTTGGTTCAGGTTTCGGTTACAGAGCTATTCAGTCATTTCTTTTGGTCTGACAGTAAAGCAGGGAGAGAGTGTATATTAATTGCGCTCGACAGCCTCCCACCACTGGTCATAGAGTTCAAAGCCTGGACGAGAACATGATTACGTACTACCGACGGACTCTAATGAGAGCAAATCTGGAGTTCAGTGCTTCCCAAGCAATAAGTCTGTGGAATTGCAAGTCGAAATTTTCCCGCAACACTCCTCTCAAGTATGTCTGTATGTATGTAGTATGAATTTGTAATATGTCACGGTCCAGGAGACATAATACTATGTCGACACATCCTACTGAGACTCCTGCAGATTGCCCTTTCCAGTTCTTCCTCAATGGCTGTGGGTGGAATGCACGGCTTATTTTATCTAGTCCTAGCCAGCGGAAACCAGTATTTGCGATTATGTATAACTGCCTTTGAAAATAACGATAGTTTCTGTCGAAGGCTTTGGCGGAAATGGCAAAGAAAGGAGGCCATTTGTTGCGGTTAATTAGACCATCAAGAAAGCTAAGGTTGGGGATTTAGTCTGAATGACATCATTTCTTTTCCTCACTCCACAAGCAGACAAAGGTTCAATACTTTCCTCGGCAACATATTTGTACCTTCATCGTTTTCTTGAACCGTTTTCACACACACCATCATCAAGAAGAAATATTGAATTACATCAAACTAACTGTGTTTTACTAAAATGTAAAAATTTATGTTCCTCCTCTTCTGATTTGACTCAGTTCCACCGGTTATAAAATGGTGCTTTGGTCATCCTCAATAGTTTTCCCCACAATGACAACTGATGGTACCAGTGTACCCGCATTTGACAGACCGGTGTAGTCAAGATGCTGGATCACCGTGAAAACATTGGTGTCACCTCGCTCACAATGGCTGTGACCAATCAAATTCTATTTAGAGAAAAACAATATAGCGAACAGGTTTGTTTTCGTAATTTCGTTTTCAGGCATTCACACTTGTGTGTTTACATATAATGTATAAATAAATGTGACTGGTCCATTGAGGTTGAAAATACAACGATGTCTGTCACGCGTAAAGTAGAGCGAGTGTAGAAAATAGGGGTAGTGGGCGAACGGGGGGGGGGAAAGGTCAATTATGTAAATTTATGATGACCTTTTTCACGTGCAATTTGTCACGCCATGTTGCGTCATCACGACATGACTGAAGTCGTGTCCACATTAGATACAGACACACGCAAAACTGTGAAAGCCTGAAGACGAAGTTACGAGAACAAGCTTCTTTGCTATATTGTTTCTCTTTTGATATTCTTATGGGAATTTTCCGCGAAATTTTATTGCGTTACAACCGATAGGAGACAAATACTGCGAGATGTTAACATCTCTTTTAAACTCTTCAGTCGCCACAACGTAAAAAAATCTGGTATTTATCCAAACAAGTTTCGATAAACGGACAATAGTCACAAAAGCGGTGACACTTACGGTGACACTTGCGGTGACACTTACATCGGTAGAACGAATCGGCCCTTGGCACAGCGGATGTCTGAACACATTCCCAAGTGGTTGATATAATCGATGACGCAACAAAGTCCTACAGGTCAAACTGATAGGAGAAATCCAAGGTCATCAATCGCAAAACATCTCATGGCAACTGGACACATCGTTGACCCACAAATGTCGTTAAAGCCATTATTACGTAGCATTAATCCCAGGATTTTGGCATTCAGCTATGCGATGCTAATTACGTTACGTAACCCAATATTGTGCGCACAAAAGTTTCTTACACAATCAGTCAGACTGCCATGGAACTGATTTCCCACCCAACCCTGACTAGTGTCCGTTCTACCACTGTAGTTATCAAACATTGTTTGTGCAAAATACCAGATTGTTTTGCGTTGTAGCGACTGAAGAGATTAAAAGAAATGTTAACATCTTTCAGTGTTTGTCTTCTATCGGTTCTAACAAATTGGATAACAGAGACTCAATGTTTCAAGTTTCCGAAATTTTATTTACTTCAGTCACATTGTGTCTAACGTCTGGTTTAGTTGTTTGATTTATGTGTGCAAAACAGTATGATGATTTTGTGAGCGGTACCGACATCATACAGTCGTTTTCTTGCGCGATGATACAGCTGTTTACCATCGGTTTGTGACCGAATACTGATTACTACCTCGTACCAATGGCCACGGTTTGAGCCCGATGGAAAACATACAGGCGATTCTTGAATAAAAAGTGTACCGGGAAGCGAGAAACCACTCCACAAGACGTTACAAAGAGACATCTTCGGTAGAGGATAGAGTGATAACGGAGGGGTACTGCTGAAAATCTCATACCAAGTCTGTTGTGAATTCGGTGACTAAATCCGGTAATAAATTTGATCAAGGTGGTTAAGTCCATCAAGATGCTTTTATTTTGTTGCATTACATGAACCGTTTTTTCGTACATTTATTTTTACTCTGATCTATCTTTCGAGTTCTTCTCATTCCCATGAACCTTACCGATTCTGTTTATAGGAGTCATCATAGTCTATTAGAAGAAATTTTGCATCACTTTTATCAGAGGTGTTTCAGTTGACGGAATTCAATCAATAATGTTCAATAACAGATTCCATCATTCTGTTTACTTCCAACTGCTAAATCACGTGACTGGTAAAGCAAAAGAAATCTGAATGTTGAAGCCGCTGGTCAACACATAGGTTTGGTAATTCATTTACATGAGCCACTTCCGGCTGTCCCAAAATGTGTTTGAAAGCGTTCTGTATAGGACGAGGAAACCCCTAGGTTTCATCACCTTTGATTACTTAGTACCCCCGGAAAACTGGTCCTGTGCTATGTCTCTTTAAGACTCAGCTTACGTTGAGTTGAAAACAATTTTAAATAATCTCGTCATTTTCTAACAAACCACATATTTTCTTTCCATTAGAGGTACCTGGCATGCCTTATCTTCCTTGCCATAAAATCTAGTCTGGTGCGAGATAAGAGGGGAAGGCAGAATTAGATTCATCGATTTTTGACTGATTGATATATTTCAAATGCAAATGAAATTCTTGACGTTAGGTGATTTGATCAGGATCCACAAACGCCTTTCGCAATTATATACATTCACGTTTATCGTCTTTTGAATCCATTTGCCGCGTGATACTGTGCGATTTCTTCGGATGAAGGTTATACTGCGTAGGTTTATGATCATCTCTGATGATATTCAGCTATTGACTAGAAAAAACCCAATAATAATCGCAGAGAGATTAGGCAGCATTAACTAATTGCGCAGCGGATGTGGTTGAAATTGCTTCAGACTGAACTCCTCAACTTTGTATCTCACATACGTTCGACCAAGTTGCAGTTTCCATGGCCTATAATAAACGCATGACTCTGTTGAAATTGAATCTTTTATAGCGCTATATCAACAATATTACGCAATACATGTAATGTTTCTCCACATATAATAACCATGAAAGGTATGGCACTTCATATTTGTTCAATTATCCGGTGCATTTTGGTTAATGGTTGACTAATGGTTATCTGCTTTGCTCTTTCGGGGGCTCATGATCTGTGTGCACAATTTTGTTATGCACTTCTGAGTCCCGAGTCCCGGCATGGACGAAGCCGTTGTTCAGTGATCTTTGTAGACCCTTGTCAATCATGTTCGACATGGTAAATGTTACAAATGAGCTGCCAAATGAATAAGATCCAAACAAATAGATCAATACACAAATCCTAATAAGTATTTGGTGGAATAGAACTGAGAAATAACATATTCAACTCAATTGGCTAATGCTATTTGTGTTCATGTGAGGTTTAGGTTTTCGGTGAAAGTTTTCACTAATATCGTCCTTCGGAGAAATTACACCGATAAAATCTCAATTATTCTCATATAGATTGCAGATGACCCTATTGGAGAGAACACAGAAATGGAAACAAGCGACCGTAAACGACTTGCCCTGGAAACCCACCTAAGCAATGATAACCCATATAAGCCTGATCTTTTTAAAGGACCACTTTGTATCTCTACACCAGGTGTTCAAAAGGCTTATTTTGTAATCTGGAAACATGCGATGCCGGTGCTATGTGCACATGGCGTGTTGACACACAACAACTGGCTGTGATTATCTCCAAAAAGGCTATCGGGTTGCTCTACAACCTGCACTCAGTCCATTACATGGACTAATTGTTTGTGTTAGTACGCGGGTTCCTGTCTATCATATGCCACTATATAAACTCGATATTTTTAGTTTAAAAGAATGATCATGCCCTAAACGAAGCAACAATTGGAAGTAATACATAATGAAATGGTTTCAAGGTTGGAAGACTCCCAAACCTGAAGCCAAAAATATTATTTACTCGGTGAATTTTATAGCACTGCAGATTCGTGGATAGTACAATAAGCTTCTGACCGAGTATTACTCTACTGTGCATTGAAATGACACTTACGGTTTGCCGTACCAAAGCTGAGATGCTTTCAATCATCATATTGGTGAAACAACTCATCGGTTTCAAGGCCGGGATATCGGACTGCAGACGCGTGAAGAATTCTCCCAACTGTTGTACAAATGGCGATTGACTCAGGTTTCCAATCCACGCATATTTGTGATCAAACCAGTTGCGAAGGCCCTGTTGCAATATGTAGACCGCATCTGAACGGGAGGAAAACAAATTAAATTACGCGGGAACGAAAAGATAATAATAATAATAATAATAAATTGTTGTTATTAATTAATTCATTTACTACTAAAGAAAGCCACTTACCCCGTGCGCCGCGCTATCACTTAGTAGTAATACCTGTTAATTGCAATGGATACAACATATGAAATGCAATACACATACAAGTAACAAGCCCGTTCAATGTTTATCGGAATGTATTTCGACCCAAAATGTTTTCAAGTGAAGACGTCCAACCTGTGCAGTTCAATATTCGATCGGTGTCTTTTTCGAGATTCATTACGTCTACTTCAAATGGAAATGAATGGTTTGCCACAGCTTTTAAAAAAAACTGTGTGGCGTTCAACTCATTTTCCGCGCTTTGACAAATGTGCCGCACAGTATTTAGTGTCTCGAGTGAAAAATGTTGGTCCGAGAATTGGTGAGAACAAAACAATCTACGAATTCGTGTTGTTTGACTCATTCAGAAGAGAATACGAAAATAAGTATGCGCAACAGATTCCACAACCGATTAGTTCACAGTTAGGTGCAGAGAACCGCGCATGGTTTATAAAATTAAAACATAATGCGTTTCTACAGAGGTAAAAATTAATCATTTTCCAGTCTTCATCGCAGACGGAATATAATTTCTTTATGTGAATTGTATGCGACATAAAATGAGTCCACCACGTTACCGATTCGATTGGGCACAGAAACGTCCACGAGCGATTGCAGCTCTCCCTCTAATTTGTTTAGTCGTGTGTTTTATTAAATTCATTGATTTTCGTCACCGGCGGTAACCCGGTGCTAACGTCACCAAATTACCACCTCGAGGGACGTGAGTTCGAACCCACCACCATCGCCTGATTTTCCCCTGGCAGCCCTTTGATTGGCCGCTTCCCCTTTCCTGAAAATTGTATCACTGTGCACTCAATAAAAAGGAATTAAAATGAGAGAGAGAATGGCAATGCGAATGAACGTTTTCATGGTTGTTCTTCTTTTCCTCCACTCGATTTCCCTGGTTGGATTTTCAAAATACATGAATGCAAATGAATGTTGCTTTATCAGAATAAGTAAACCGCTGATCTGAGTAATTCGGATAGTCGGTTTGGAAAAAATCAGTGTTTCCCGTAAATTCCGGTGACAAACTTCAATTCAACCTTGTATTGAAGTTCTGTTCAGGGACAGAGTTCAGATACACTTTTTCACCAACAATTTCATAAGTGTCAAACACATTTTAGTTGTAGTTTTCCTTCCAATTACTCCCTTGAGATCTTCAAAGACCAAAGAAACAAGTTAGATAAACATTTTCTTCATCCATTGTGGCCTAATCCTTATAATTATGGGTTTCACTTGTTTCTTGTATCTTCCTTGATAGTCACGATTTCCATGACTAGGGGAAAATTGTCATTGTGTTAAAGTGCTAATACAAAAAAAATTGGTCTATCAAGACCCCTGATTAGAACTAATTTTCAGTTGTCAATCGGTATACAACCAGATCGATTAAATGTAACCGCTGTGACCACGATTGTGACTATCAGAACTGCATTTTAAGTGATCCAAGACAAACTTGTTACTTCGGGGCGTCAAAATTATCGAAATAGGTGTCCATTGAATTTGATTTTACAGAACTTTCTAAAGTTAACTTCTTCTCTTCTTTCTGCATCTATTCGGAACTAAATCATAGATTTTGGGGACCCAAAAAATGTATGCCTTCATATTGATCGATTTGTTTGTCACAGTACAAGATTTAATCTTTGATAACATCTGATACCATAAGAGATGAATTGAGATGCTTTTCTCGACACATTGAAGTGATGGCTCTGAATGACAGAATTCATTCTGAGAAACGCTGCTAAAATGATCGGTACATCAGCTTGCAAATAGATCGAATAGAATGAGTCTTCTCCAACATCATGACCGCAGACACCAAGATTGACCGAAATCAGAGTTCATAAAAAAGGACGTGATCCAGATTAATTGGTTGTGTCCAGAAAAAACGTAGTCTGCTTTTTTCAACCTCGACGAATATCGTCAATATTGTGAATGTTCTAATCTCATTTTGGATCAAACACTTGTGTGAGATATGCTTTGATGACGCTTGCATCCCCGAATTGGCAGCAAAAAGTTGATAAATCCTCAGAGGACGTGGGCAACAAATATGCCACTAACTTGGATTTTTCGGAAGCATTTGCGCTGTTTGCCCATTGACGTAAATTTCTTAAGTTTAAAGAATGTTACTGCTTCCATTTTTAACAACCTCTTCTGGGTGTGTCCTCGGATGCTCTTTTCCGAACGTAGTTCAACCCTTATAATTTGAAGGTAAAGTTGTACACACTTAAAGAATTACGATTGTTATTGAACGCTTTACGTGGGACTTTCAAGCTAATTCACAGACCACAAGGTCTGTTGCATTGTGCTTTCACGAATGTCCAACTCTATGGGAGCTGGCTGTTTCATAAGTGCTAACGCAGTTTATTCACGACGGTATTTCCAATTTGAAAGCGTACAAATCCAGAGATCAGTATTATTGTTATCAGTGCAATATAGGCAAGTAATCGAAAATGCGGTGACCAAATTTGCTTCTCCGAAATGTACCGGACCGTTGTCCAGTGGGTGAGTGACCAGCAGGTACGAACCCTAAGTCCAAGTTCACAGACCTCCACCATTTCTCATCAAGCATTAGACAAAGTCTTACTTCTGTAGCCTTGATTCCCAATTCTTTGGTCTTTACCTACAGTCCTTTAGTCAAAACTCGTCATTCCTGAGTCATGACCTGTGGTTATTAGACTTCGACGCAAAAACTCCAACCATGCGGCGAATAAAATTGAAACGCATGAAAGTTTTCTGTGGTCCAGAATTGTTGAACATTTTTGTTTCCAAAAACGTTTTATTTTGGAAAACTGGGTGACCAAATGAGGTGTGGTGATCGTTCGCTACACAGTTGACTATAGTAACTGTGTCAGATGTTGCAACGTAAATAAGTTAGCGAAAATGATGGAGGTATCTTTTTTTGTGAATGAAGTTCGTTGCCCTCGAGCAGTCAATTTATCCACATTTAAAACGAATCCATCCTTGAATGAAACTGCGGGACGGTCAGCATTCATTTTTTATTATTTCGTTTTTTATTGTGTCAAGGCTTGTGAGTGCAAAACAGTATACCATTTGTTTTCCGTTTTTTCTTGGCAGGGGTGACCTATTTTCATTTGTCCTCTTCATTATCGTCATTCGCGTTCTATTTTTCGGTAATTTGACTTTTAGAACACTCCACGATAGGCGGTAGTAATTTTTTTTACCTGGCGTTGTATGTATTTATGATATGAAAAACAAAAAATATATGGTGCGAAACAAAAGAAAAAAATCTGTCTCACCAGTGCAAACGATTGATCGAGAGTAATGGAATGTGTATGCAGATGTGATAGTTTGAAAGATACCAAACACCTCATCATTGAAATTAAAATATGCCTTACTGTTGTGACCACGGCTCAGGAAATATCAACCAAACATGGATCTTGCAAAGCGAAGTTCAGTGATGAGTTCACAAAAGATTCGTATGATGCTGTGGATGAAGCAGGTTAATGAGAAGATGGCGAAGGCCTTCCCAGACACATCGATTTTCAAGACCGATTAGTCTATTGCTTAGTGGACACCGTTATTCGGTCAAGAAGCTGATTGATCAATATGAGGAAAGAAACTTGGAATTGGTCGCATTGAGAAGAGCGCAGTCGTATTTATAAGCTCTGAGACTAATTGAAAAGTGACGGAATAAAGAAACAAATTACGACCGTTCCATAGTCGCATTTAAGGATGACATCGTTTAGAAAAGTGGATGCATAAACTGCCTGAAGGTAGCGAACATCGTTCACAAAGATAACCTTCATTATTGTCACCAACATATTTACGTTGCAACATCTGACACAATTACGGCGGTTAACTGCGCAGCGAAAGATCACCACACCTCATTTGCTCACCCGGTTTTCCAGCTTTGCAGAAAATTACAATTTTCAACAATTCTTGACCCCTGAAAACTCCAAAACATTTTGATTTGATTTGAAACGACCATTCGTCAGCAGTTCTTCCAGTCAATAATAAATTCGGAAGTACTAGACTCCAGTTTTGCTTTTATTAGAGGGCATCTGTAATGCATACCCACCGTCCCATCCGGGGAGTTGAACTCCGGACCGATGACGCGGTCACCAAAGTGATTCCAAGGAATGTAGAACAACAGAGGTATTTAGGAGATCAACAGTAGCTATAGCTCGGTAGGAAAGGGGCAATGGTTCCATGCAATGCTTAGGTCAGTCTCACATTCTAGAAGGAACACGGTCAGACAATAAAATAAAGCGGGTTACCAAGATGTATGGTTATTGTACGATCAAATTAGATGACTAAATAAATAGGGAACAGAATGACATCCTAGTAAACAAAAATCATTACAAATTCAGGTTATATGAGGATGGCGAAATGCCCGTAGTATCGGGTAGACGAACAGGCATTGAATATCCTGGTGGTATGAATAGTGCGACGTGCTCATGAAATATGGAAGGTAAATACTGAATAACTCTACCAAGAAGATACGAAAACTACTTATTAGGACTATCATGGAGACTAATAGTTGATGACGGTGGCAGTGGGTGGACAAACAACGGTAACCGACCGCTTGGATCTTTGTGACCGGAAACGTACATCAAAGGAGCGACTAAGCACGCAAAAGATATTCCAATGAATGTTCGACAAGTTGAGATAGTGTAAAACATCCATTACGCCTCCCGACACTAAAGGTTGCCCGATTAATGGTTCACTGCTGATTACTCCTAGCAGCATAATGTTTCGGGATGCTGTCTACATGTTTATGTACTTTGCTTGCATGAGTTGAGCATGGAACTTGTCATCAGGTTGGCGGTTTTCATCATCGTGTTTCATCAAACTGGTTTGTGCTTGAGTTAATGGGCACATTCACTTGTGTACTAAGATTAGAATCAAGCAGGTTCTGTGATTCACATTGGATCAGTTGGCTGAATTCAGGGAAATAATTCAAGAAGTGAGGGTCTCATAAACAAGCAAAGCATCTTTGCTTTCCTTATGTAATCTAAAACCAAGCTGAATGACAGATTGAGGGTTGTTGTGGCTGATTGAATTTACAAAACAACCCGACGCACAAGGTCAAAAGTCACATAGCGTTCCACCGTTGGTGTATTCCATCGCTTTCATTTGCTTGAAACGTGCTGTCAAAAGCACTACGTTATTCTATGTAAGATTCACCTATGACAGGGAGAGCTTAGTCTAGTTTGTACGTCCAAATACAATTCACTTAGGAAAGACAGACTTGTATAAACTTAAGTGGCTGTTAGGTTCCTTGGTTCCTCATTGACAGCATTGAAAATAAATGATCTTCCCATTGGTCTATTCAAATGACATGATAATGTCCGGAGTGTGAACCTGATGGGAGTAGGAAACATTCATTCTGATATAAGCTTGGCAGCGCAAAATCTATGTATTCTGTATTCAGACATGCTTATTTGGTGAGATCTTTGAAATTCAACCGTGCTAGATTTATGTTAAATTGGACAATTCATGAACGTTTAAGTCACACATTGGATTTAATGATTATTGAACAATGAGTAATTTAATGATTACCTACGTCCCGGAATCTTTTATAAATTTGAAAACCTGTGTTGTGGTGCCACAGCGATATTCTTCATCAACTAAGTCGTCAAGTTAAAATAAGATGCAAAAAATGTAGACCATCAGCGTCAGATATTCTTTGGTAAGTACCGAATGAGAGAGCAGGCAGGTGACTACTTAATGCGACACCTCAAAGGTTTTCTGAACCTACTATTTTCTTGATAAACGTCCGATTAATATTCGGAATAATAGGAAGGGGGAAGAAATTGAAAAGAATACCTTGCATTGGGTGTAATTATGCCACAAGAAACGTGGTTGCATTCTTGTCCCGACAATTCTTTGTTTGAGCTCCATTTCTTTTGTGCCAACTGTACTACTAGCTGGCGGTGGTTATGTAATAAAGCAAGCCAATTCTTCTTGATATAAGTCTATAAAATGATCTTTGGCTGAAGCTTTTTCACTCTTGCTCCTTACACCTCTTGTCCTCGATGAATCTGTTTTGCTGTTCCACAGCCACATTAAAATCACATTTTATATTTTAGTAAGGATTTGGAATACTTTTCGAGCATTTCCGCTCAAATGGTGTCGGTATTGCTTGGACTAAAATGTCCTTCGTATACCTTGGCTTCTTCACTTGAACTATCCTGCTTCTCCCACCTCATCCAACTCTGTCTGGTATTCTGCCTGCTGAATGCCTCCACACTTCAGTGAGATTGTCTCTAGCTTTTCAGCTGTTGCTTTGAGGGACAAACAATGCTGTATCTTTGACCCAGGTTTATTTTACTGGCAGAACGTACTTCACCAGGTTTCTTGAAAAGCGTTTGACTCGCTATTGGTCACTTCTAGAGTGATCTCTATTTTCTTGGCCTACGCAGCAACCCATATGTTTTTCTTATCAAATCGGCTGATGAGATCACAAGTGATTCCAACTTCCTGGGTGATATTCGTGTCTCACAGGTTCAGGCCAGTCTATTCGTGTCCAGTTTGTGATCATCGTATTACCGTTTACCTATCTCATTTTAGAAGTGTTTCCTTATCCCAAATCACAGAAGCACGACTGCATTTGTATAAAGCAATTGCTCGGTACTCGGGATCAGTAGCCGAACTGTTTCCCCAGTACGTTTATTACAATAACATGGTGTAAGTATCTGTTAAGATCTTTTGTGGATTTCAAATTTCAATAGCACTTTTAAAAGAATTCAGCGACTGTGCTTCTGTATTTCCCGCCTAGTACCACTTCACTTCATTTACTCACCTGTTTTGTATGAACTTTTGTTTTCACTAACCTTCTTTACTGTTTCTCTATTTCATTTGTCTCTCTTAAAGTTAAAGCTCATGCATTGATAATTAGTTCTATTAGAATCACTTCCAGTGCAGGTGGTCTTCCTTATTCACACTTGCTCAACTTAATGAATGTGAAAGGATTCTTATGGATTGTACCTATTAAGTGCACACAGAATTAAATTTCTGTCGTTTCCATCCCTCTACTAGATCCAAAAATCTTTGTACTTTATCACGGATAAGCACATATTGTAAGTGTACGATATTTTCTGGGTAAAACAGAATGGATTTCACAGATTGCTCAAAAATGTGTATATGCATATTCGGTCAGTGTACTCCCATTGCTTTCCCCTTTAAATAGGCCCTACCCTTCTATGTTCTCAAAGGCTTTGAAGGCATTGTTGAGTTAAAAGCAATCAGTTTGATTTTTTTCACTATATTTCGCTGTACGTTGTTGATGATAATGACTATGGTGATGAATTGTTGAAGGCATTTCACAGCAATTTATTTTATGACCAGAACACACTCGTGCATTCTCCAAAACTATTCTAGGATTCACTTTCGGTCAAGTGGATAGCCACTTGGCTTCTTTGTAACCGGACTTTACAGTTTATCAAATTTTAAGCAACTTTCCCCATTTCGTTTGGGGTCTTGAGAGCATCAACGTTTAAACTTGTATTTCTATTTGCATAGAAGTTCTGATAGCGTGTATGCTTTAAATGCAACTTTAATGCACATGTGCAGTATGTGTCAAAGCTGTCATGGGAGGTCGAGGGAGATGGCTTCAGCACATAAACGCATGAATAACGGTCATCGGAAGCCACTGGGGAAAGAAGTGCACCAATAAAAGCAGTCCCGGAACAGAAGCGAATGAAGGGATATAAACGCCATGAGATATTGGTTTTGCATTGTGAATTATTAATATAGAAAAGGTTTTAAACCCTGGTTTTAGCATTTTTAAACGGAGTTAGCTAGGATGACTGTTTTATTATTTGCTTTCCTACCGCCAGTAAAACTGCTAACTTTCAGATTGGAAGCTTAAACCTTTATCCTTGAGCTAGACGTTCGCTGCATAATGTCTAGGCCCATGGATTCCTGATTGAATTACCACATTTCATGGCATACTAGTTCACAAAACAACAAGGTTTGTGTATTTTTGTTCTTAGCCAAACCACATCCACCGGAAGTTCACTTATTTCTCATCACCAATACAGAGTTCTCATGAGATTAAAGCAACTTTTAGGACGACTATAGGCACCAAGTACACTTTGTCAACATTTTCATTTCAAAAGCTGTTGTGCCTGTGGACAAGGACAATGGTTTGGAGGAAGTGATAATTTATCACTGAAAGCCTGTCAGCATCGTTGCCCTCAAAGATGGAGTGAGAGTGGATGCGCTGCACAGAGGTATGGGCAAAATTCATGTCTAGATGCGAATCTATCCGAGCTGCCTGATTTTTTTCACAACTTGATTACAAACTAATGAAAAGTGAAGTGAACTATACGAGAGAAGAAGGGCGATTTACGTTGAATAGTTTGTATCCAGATATCTCATCAGGTGTCTACTGCAGATTGTATATTATAAATGATGAAAACGATGGAAACCGAATAATAAGTATTTCGTTCAATCTATGGAGCCATATTCCTTTCAGCTTATATCTGAGACTGATTGCTACAATTTGTGCGTAACGGTTCAACTTATTTTGAGACGGTCAATGAAACATTTGATCGCTTAAAACTTGCAAAATGATGCACACATAAGTTTCGGAACGTAACTCAGGTTTGTTAGAACAACCGGACTATAGGTAAATACATGCTCACTTGTACATGCTGCAACCTTATTGAACAGAAAATTGGCAAACTGTTCACTGGCCCAAATTGTCCCGTTTACCATCCGTGCCATGGCTTCAAATGTGGGCCTAAACAGGGGAAATTTATCGCGTTCAATTTCGGGCTGTAAGTGAAAGAAAATGAGAAAAAGAAATGAACGACACAGTTACTCAGCAATATGAAAAACTTAAGATTAGCCGTGTGATCGCAGTTGCGCCGCTTTCTTTTAACAATCCGTCTAGCACGCATCATAAGCAGGCTGAAATGAGAAAAGCTTTCCGGAGATACCATGAACTGTAAATCCTAGTTGCATATATAATGAAGGGGATGAATTTTCTGATCGCTATTGGGAAAATGACTCAGGTAACCAATTTGCACAAGGAATTAATCTGACTAATTAGCAATCACTATGAAGTTCCAAGTGTGTAGTTCTCAGTTCTGCCTCAAGTGAAAACGATGGATATACACTACTAACGAAACTCTCAAACATTCCCTATTTCACCTGCACGTTTGAAAAGGGCGAAATTGTCTAACGCGTGCCCTTTCATAGTGCTAGGTATTCACAAGCTATCTACCGCATTGAGGGGGAAGGGGTTGATAAGCAATTGGCGATTCCCATCTAACCGATGTACACAAAAGTAATTAACTGATTCACCATTTCTGATGGAAGTGAACTGATTACACGCGCAGTATCCGAGACTGCCTACAGAAGTGGAAAAGCGTTCCCGACTGGACCGTTTCTCATTCATATCGGAAAGCCAATTAAACACCCGTGCTCAGTGACCGAATAAAAGATTATCCTCCATCACCTGGGATCCCCTGCATAGTTTCTCAATAGCTGGAGAAATGATCGCTGCACATAAAAGTTGTTCCGGTTTCTTATTTTATTCGGCCTCCAAAACGCCTCTTTTCCGTTTTCATTAGTTTCACCAACAGTACTGCAAGTTGAGCTCCCTCTCCCTCCTCATACATGTGTTATACCTTGAGGTTGACAGCGAGCTCTTTGATGAAGCATAGAATTCACATAATTGAAGCTACGCACAAATCATAACCACTTCTTATTGGGGAGAATTTAATAGATTTAATATACTATTGTTGTAAAATCGCATGATCCAAATATGAAAAATGTCAATATTGTCGGCCTTTTCTCATAGTTCATGTGGTAGAGCGTGTACGTTATAAAGGATTAAGCGGCGTCTATACGCGGGTTCGAATCCCACTAGAATTATTGAATTTTTCATAATTTGAACAAAATCCGGTGGAAAAAGATCTGAGTATACACACTGAAAATACGCTTCTGGAAAGAAGATAGACATGTCTAACACTACTGATGAGTCCAGACAAGCATGACACATCGAGTCATTTCTATTTGTCGATCTCGCGATCAGTGCAAAGTAGTTCTGTCACAAGTGTGCTTGATTGTTTGACATAGATTAGGTACCAATAGACAAAATTCACACATACACCCTAAATAGTACAATCACTGATGTTCATTTTTAGGTTAAAATCGATTGATCTAACGCAAATGCAGTATTCTAAAAAGATACGGTGTGTCCTTATTCTTCAGCGTTTTGATTCATCCTTCAGTAAATCCGTTTATAAAAAATATGTTGAATGCTCCTAATATTTTTATCTCGGTTATCCAATCGTGTTACTGAACGAGCACAAACCACCAGACTTGGAAAGGTCTCATCGAGGCCGTTAGTTAACAACACCGGAGCATATCAAGGAGCTCTACTGTCCCCATACTTATTTCTCACATATAATTGTGCTTTTCGTTGTGTTTCTCTTGCAAGTGTTTCGAATTATGCAAATCATATGGTGCTATGATAATGCATCGCGTCTTCTTTCGACCCAGGGTTCTGTTTTTCTCCTCAAAAATGAAGTAAAAGTTCGAATCCCAGTTGAATGCACTGAATGAATGTTTTTCTCTCCTCATTCCTCTTGTACCCCACAGGAACACGAAGCGATTTTTTATCCATAATAACTTGAGTCACTATGGTCAAAACCTTTCGTTGGTTAGCTGAAATTGTTGATTGCTTTAGCAAACCATTCCCCGTTTAATCTATAAAATTCTAACAAATTTTTTTTGTTAACTCTTGCATACCTTTGTGTTTTCCCTATCCTGATTTAGTTGTTACCATTTAAAAGTGCTACTCAGCGTTCTAGTGATTATTAATCACTTTTACCCATTTTCTGTAAATGGGTTAAGTGCAAAACTCTCAGATCATTAAACAACTTGCACTGATAACTTTACCTAGAGGATGCACTGATCACCCAATACAGGTTGGATGAAAACGCCGTCGCTCTCATCCCATCATACAGTCTGAATCCTGACATATATCAACTGGAATCAACCTCAACCGAAATGTATTTGTACTGTGCTGTCCAGCTGAACTCACAAACAAACAGAAAGTAACAAATTAACACTGTCTTTACCTTAGACTATAGCTTACGTTTGTAATTAATCGGAACGAGTTTTCTACCATTCCATTCCATGTGAAGGTTGAGGTGCACTTTTGTTTTACTGAAGTCTAAGTTGGTTACTTGTAAAAGGTACAAAATATATGTAATATATACATATATATATGTAGATAGGTAAATAGAGAGATGTGTAGAGAGAGAGAAAAAGGGATAGAGAGCTAGACGGATGAATTGATAGATAGAAATAAAAATATTTCATGTTGTATTTTTTCTCATTTCACTCGGATCATTATTTTGCGCAGTAAAACATTTTGTTGCTCACCACAAATCGAGGTTCTTCACACATCCTAAGCACAATAAAAAGGTGTAGCAATGCTCTGTCACCGGGGGGCGTCCACCTGTGTGCGTTTGCAGCGTCGTACACGACAACAAAAACACGCGAAACAGTGAGTGCACCACTGAATGGAAAAGTGCCAATCCCATTCAATTATTTCAGTTTTGTGTTTTAGTGAGGCATGGTTTAGATCAAAAGCTTTCATTAAGTATTTTACCTCTCAGTGCGCGTTTCCTTCCTCGTGTTATATAAGTATGTTTCGTTCAACCACTCATTAATTTAGGCGAAAGAATTGGGCAATTGCCGACCAGTCTAGTGTATAAAATCGGTCATGCATCCTCATTTTCGATGACAATGATTTGTTTTCCATCGGACCAGTGATTACATTTTATTGTTTTACTGTTGTGTTTTGTTCGTGTACTATCCCAACATCACTGAGTTGCGTTTGATCGCGGTAGGGGTTTAGTGGAGTGTGCGACAGGACTTTACTATCAGATTACCTCTCAATAGATTCGTCGGTAGAATCACAATGATCGAAATAAGACTCAGACTGCGCGGACAGTAGATCTACTAACCTGGTTGTGTTTAAAAGGATACATGCAGTACAGAGCAAACGTTTCAGGCTTGTGTCGGAATCCCATCCCCAATGGCATGCGATTGGCAAGTAGTTTTTCAATCCTGAAAATCTCGAAGGGGAAAATAATCTATTTACGTCCACATGTTCGTTCACTATGATTGATCAACCCAATGAGGGATATTTATACACCAGTTTTTTCTACGTTTGTGGTTGCGAGGATCGAACGAAATGTCAACAACTCCCGACACTGGTCTTCTTTCAATAATGATGCATTGGATAAAAGGAATCCAATGTTTCGAATTGGACATCCCATCTACCGGTGAACTCCGATGCCTAATGAAGACAATAAAGACCAAAGGTTGACAGAATGTTTCAGGCAGACATACTGTCTGTTCTATGGCGGGGAGTAGAAATCGTAGGCTGGTCAGTGGATTTCCACATCCGATAATGTTTGATTATAGAGAAATCCCCTTTTTGTGGTTTTGCGTGTATGGATGTCTGGATGAATTGGAACTTCTACATGAAGCCGAAAAGAGATGAGCAATCTAAATAACACCGTTGTGTTTTGTTTGTCTAGGTTTTGCAGATGGAGCACCCATACAGAAAAGAAAATTGATTGCGTGAAGTATATAGCAATTTCCGTGATGCATTGCCGAGCTGAACTTTCAATGGTAGCACCCATAAATATATTAATCCATGATGGTGTATATTATAAGTTTCAATATAGTTATGATCGCACTTTGGTTTAAATAAACTACCATGTCAAATGCAGTAGACCAAGCTACCAGAAACTTATAACAAACAGTTCTGTGCTTACTTTAAACATCTCCAATTGCTTGGAAAATTGTAGGTCCTCTAAGGCAGCCTTTTTCAAAATGTTTAAAATTTCGTTTATCATCATTTCCTGCACTTGACTAATATTGTAATCCAGCTCGGTAACATTGAACAAACCCAGCTGTTCAATCACAGGCATTTCGCTGGTTTTCATGTAGAAGTGATCTTCTTCCCACCAAGTGCGCAATGTTTTGGTGAATTCACGCATGTCGTCCAATACACCCTCTCGCCATGCTCGTAGCTCATGGTGATTGATGAGAGCGGTGCGATTATGATCGGCGAACAACGAGAGGAGCAACTCTCCTGACGACTCAATTGGGACCGGATTTCTCAATAACGTCCGCATCCGTACCATATCGGTCAGTTCTGTTCCGTGTAGCTGTAGCATGCAGCAAAACAGAACAAGGGTAAATGTCGCGGACATTGTAAACAAGACAGCGAGATGTTGAGATTAATAATTGCTCCAGGCAATGCCTGTTTAGTATTGAGAGAGAATATTGAGCAGATCTTTGATACAATCATTTATCAAACAAAGTCTATGCTTATACCGAATACCAAAAGCCAGTTGGAACGACTCAAGTACTAACATAAGTGACTGTCAATTTTGTTCAATACACATTGATTATGCGCAGCACATAAAACGCGGGATATATTAACTGTTTGAAAAATTTAGGCAGGCACAAGAATTTGTGTTCCGTGAACGTTTGCAACATCTCAATTACATTTTATGGTATTACGGAAACAACAAACTGGTCTGACCGTGATTCTATTTTTATTTCATTTTCAGGGTGTATTGCGGACAAGTAGAATGAGCGACCTAGCAGTTGCGCGCACATGAACTCATTGTACCGTGAGTGTTTACTTACTAGTAATTCATTGATGAGGCCTGGTCTCCAGTTCAGATTTGCATGAATCGTGTTCTCCGGATCCAGGAAAAAGCGAGCAACTAGATCTTTTCGTCGACTTTGTGCCGAACTATCCTCGTCATTCCGCGAATGTTCTGCTTCAATCAGATATTCTTTGGCGCCCTGTTTGTATCCAGTTATCCATGCGCCTGACGGACAAGTGAGGACAGAACAAATTCAGAGACTATTTGAAAACGTACTGGGTAATGGCTCATTGTGAGACACTCAGTATCGTTTTAGTTAACAAAAGAAGGGAAATAGAACCTCGAGGAGTCCACATATTCTGTCTGTGATGCTTTTTGAATTTTTTTATTCACTTTATGTGGTAGATAGCCAAAGTATTCACCTGTATCCGGTACTTTTGAGTTCAGTGTCTACATAGTCATAGGCCTCGACAATGTTAATAGTCAAAACGAACGTGGGTTGGACAATACACACATTTTAAAAGTTTCGTCCCACTAAGATACAAACGTAATTTAGTAAACTGTCTGGCCTACAGGGCGAGGAGAATTTTAAGTCCGAGTGCCCTGAATGAACAGCTGACCTACACAAGAGATATTCTTCGGAAGAACGGATGTCCAGAAGCGTTTGTTCGACGATATATGGAATCAGAAGTAAACAATTGGAAAAATTACAACTTGTTAGGAAGAAGGATATGTTTGTCAACGTTCCTTTCAAGGGAGACAGAGCAATAAAAATCTTCGAATATCGGATATACAAAGCCATTGCCAACTGTTTTCCCGCGGCGCATTTAAGACTCTCATCGAGGACTAAACCGTTCATTGTTCAACAGCTTACGGATTAATTGCCTCACCAATCCCAATCTTTTGTTCTATATCAGTTCACGTGCACTTGTAGTGCTTGGTATATCGGACACACAACGAGAATATCTGAACATTTTCCGGCCGCTCTTCGAAAGGAATAGTGAGAAGCTTGAATAGCTCAACCCTGCAACATTTGGTCGACAGTGAACACAGGATTGACACGGAAACAACATTAACAAGTTTCTTCACTACACCTAAGAATCACACCAAAGGATTACGTAAGAAGATGCTAACAACTGCGGAATCTATAGCAATTAAGATCATGAGACCGGAGTTGTGTAAGCAACGTAATCTGGTTCAAGCGCTGCTGTTGCCATGGTCATAATAACAATTGCCCTTATTTCTATGTGATTTTATCTGCCCCCCCCCCAATTCTCACTTACTGTATTTTTCGCAAACTTTCACACCTGTTATATTCATTCTTGACTAACACCTCTCATATCGTGTCCAATTAACGCATTGTTATCGGGCTTTCCTCTGTCCAACTATCGTGACCCCACAGCTTGTTGTCAATCAAACATTTTGCACACATAGTCATTCAACATCAGCGTAGGCCTTGCATTATTCTACTGAATAATCGGGCTATATATGTAAATGCCTGAAGCGATATATGGAAAAGAAATTTCTTCGTGCTTTATTTTTGTTCTTATGCATCGATGGGAATATTTTACGATTTGTGATGTTAAGAATCTCATTACGTGACATCAAAATCAGAAGACATATGTGGGCAAAATTGACATTGACCATCAATTTCGCGTGCTCTCGTTCATCTGTAAACGCACATTTATATGATCATGTGAAATAAATATGCGTAAGAGTTGAAACGAGTCATTTGAACAAAGTGTTTGACAATTGAGTTGAGTGATTTGTGTTTGGTTAGGGGTTGAGGTCAAGTAAGATGAGAAACTTTGATATGGGGTGAACTGGACCAAACGATGTGGTGAGTGTGGTGAACTAGGGAGGAGAAAGAGGGAAGGTCATGTCACGTCATGCTATGGTAGGGTGGCATCAAGTGTGATATCATTACTATCATAGCAAAAACAGTTGCATCACAAATGTTTTTTGAACACAATTGCGGTTTCAAGCGATGAATAATCATTGCTTCTAAGAATCGCAAAGTCCGTGAACTTCGAGGCCACGCAATTACTCGAAACACTTTGGGTGCGTCTACGTGGTGACCGGAGTTTAACAAATGACGGGCAATCGCACTAGATGGTAATTTCACTCCGCGAAGACCAATCTGTTTCGGAATATGTTCACACATTCTGGTTGATAAGTGACGTTCTGTCCTTCCGATATACCGCTGCCCGCAAATACATTGAAATGAATAGATGCAATGGGAGGTAACACTAACCTCCCACTGGTTCATGTGGAACAGCATACTCAGGCCACAGGATCGATCACTCACTCGAAGGGATCCGTGATCATTGTTGTGCGTGGTTAAACATTAGCATGCTTAAATCATTGATGGTCACAATGTATTCACATCTAGATGAAAACTCTCAGCACATTGGACGCAGTCGGAGGATTATGTGCGCGCGCTCTCTCCCCTTCTATCTGTAGGGAGTCAACACTTAGTATTATGGCAAGGTTCCTGCAGTGAACAGAGGAAGAGGCAGAAAATATTTCTATATGCGCACACACAATACTTAATGTATCCAAACTAATTTATATTTCGGCTTATTCGTCCGCAGTCCACATACCACACATTTGACTTAGCGCTCAGTCCGATGATTCCACAGCACGGATGAATGATCGAACAACAATGCGATCACTCCGCGGTTCAACCCCGATAATAACAAGTGACCAATGCCCAGTTGAGATTTTATTTCTCCGAATACGATGTTTAGTTGTCTGTTGACAGAAACCGTGACGTAATACAATGATTAAATGTTCACTAAAATCTATCTTATTTGACATTGTGTTCCGTCGGAATATTCTCGGATATGTTGAATTAAAAGAAGCCATAATTCAAGTGGTATACAGTACTGTGCATAGCAGTATATATTTAAGTAGAACAGTATTTATGCTGGATGTACTTCTGTGCATCCGTAAAGATCTTTTCAAATACCATTTCGAGATCATTTTGAAAAAAGGCTTTCGTTGAAGAAGAAACCAATGGATAAGTTTGATTTATGGCATCGCTCCACGAGAAAATTGAGTCAACTCTCAAAAATAGAAATTCCTTAATGGGACTTTCACTTAAATACGCAGAAATTGATTCTCCAAAGTCATCTCAGTGTTACCTTTCTTACTCTAAAAATATCTTTATAGACAATCTAACAAAATGGCTTCAAAGCATCAGTACAAGCCTAAATTCCTCTATCTCCTCAGAGAAATAATAAAACATCAGAAATGAATATTCAGTGTTTAATTATGATTCTGGAATGGAAATGCTTCCTTTTAAATCAAGGATTGTTTTGTCAGTGATCAGCCTAAGAGCGGTATGCAATTCAGAGCAATACTTTGATCTCCAGCTCAATCGATCGATTTATCCTGCATACGGTAGCCAACGCGGTTCAAACAGGTGCTCAGTGCTTTCTGACCGTTTGATTTACGTTTCGTTTTCTTGCCATAAAACATTTTGTTTTGGTCAATATAAACATAGCATCAGAATTACCAGTCGCTCATTGTTAGATTTGTGCATTACAAGCAAGTATATAAAGCATCGCACAGCGGAGGTCAAGAAGAGGGAAAGAACAGCAAACAGGTTCTCGCGTATATCAGTTCACTCACGGCCCTTTCTGGATGTGAGTAAGGAGTTCAGTTGGAACGGTGACATTCGCAGGCTAGTCAGATGAGTCATATTCAGCAGACCATTGTTTACAAATAGTGTTTGTTCCAGCACTCCATGTGTGCCGTTGTGTAATACTTCACTGGCAATCGTCGTTTCGTTGAAATTCTATAAAGAAAAGAGAGACAGCGTTGAATTGACTGTGAATTCGCGCGTTCAGACATGACAGTCAGGTTTGACTGGTGTATCTAACAGATANGAAAGAAGAAATACTCACAGTTATACGGAATTGATTCCACGAATCGATGGTGATATTCCAATGGCCCGGAGATATCCACAGGATTGGATGGGATAGTAGAATGTCTGTAATGTAGGATAAAGTTCACATGGAAATTAATTTAAATATGTGATGTTTAATTCTTCCATATCACCCGTCTTTCCTCAACTGATAAAAACAAATGTCGAAATAAAAAATAAAATCTTACTTTTTTCATATTTATGGCACAGTTACCTATGAGCTAACTGCTGTTGGGCCCTAGGAACAGATTTCGAATCATTTACATCTGAAATCACTTGCGTTGGTATTTCTGGTTATCCTCCGTTTGAGATATCTCTTGAAAGCAGGGCAATGCGACGGGTTCGAATTTCAATTCCTTAACGGGGTGCTTGATATGTGTACTGATGAGTTCTAATAAGTGCAAAATTGTGGTCTTTTACTTCCGTAGTGTGTGATTGCTAAGACAAAATGGAGGTTCAGGGTGAGCAGGAAGTTTGACGGTTGATCAGTCAAATGTAATGATACATTGTTGAGCTAACTGGAGTTTTATGCAATAAGTAATAATTAAAATCCTCTGTGAAGTGATGCATTCGTAGCCTGCTACTTAACGGATCCCGTGTTCTTTGCATCGAAAGACAGTCCCATCCTTCAAATCTATTCGTACACTTATGCACCCGATAATCAGGACGCAAACATAAAGAAAATAAAGGAGTCCCATTTTATTTTAATGTCAGCAGATTTCATTTCTCTTTTTGTGGTTATCAGAACACGAATATTAAACCTGGACGAATGTCCTTTTGTTGCTTTCTTCATCAGGTGGTAAAACGTTACATCTGTGTTGAAACGAAAGAAATACGTGGGTGGAGTCAAACGGTTAAGGCCAATTCAGTGTAGAAAAGAGGCTTGTTTGTTTCGAGTTTCCTTGTTCGAAATCAAGTGAATCACGTAAGCGGTGGCAACCACCTAACTTTTCAGTACCCGTGAGTGAATGCCAGAATTTGCTATTCATTTGTACTGCCAACCGAACCCAGTGTTAAAAGAAAGTAAGGGATTAAATAAGCATCAGCTTTGTAATTTGCCCATAATAAAAACTTGAATTTGAACTAATTCAGGTTATCACTGCACCCACGTGTGGTGTTTCAGTGTAACCTATGAATTGTATCTCGAGGTTTGTAAAGCTATTAAGAAGTCACTAGTGAGTTCGAACTTGAACCAGTTTGGTCAAGGAGTTTTGTTGATTTATACAAAATGGTTTTAAATCCCCACACAAATCGATCATTGTTGCTCCGCCCAAAGTAAAAACCAGGGGTTTCAAATATTCAACTGTCCAGCATTCCAAAAACACAAGCTTTTTCTGAAGTATTTCTAGTCTGCTTTGTAAAATTGAACTAATAGTCAATAAATTGTCGGGTTGAGTCTGCCTG